GTTATGGGCCTAATTGTGTCACCCCCAAAGTTAAGTTGAACTTCTAACTCCCATATCTCAGAACGTGAGCTTATTTGGAAATTGCAGATGTTATTGTTTAATATGAGGTCATGCCAGAGCAGGATAGACTCTTAATCTAATATGTCTGGTGTTCCCCTTAAGAAAAGACATGTGAGTGGAGAATCCCATGTGATGATGGCAGCAGAGACTTCAGTGCTGCAGCCAAAATCCACAAGTGCCAAAGAGCCACTACCAGAAGCTAGGGAGGCAAGGAAGGCTTTGACTTTACATTCTTCAGAGACAGCATAGTCCTGCTAACACTTGATTTTGGTCTTCTAGCCTCCAGACCTCTGAAACAATAACGTTCTGTTGTTTTAAGCCCCCCAGTTGGTAGTACTTTGTTATGGCAGAGCCAGGAAAGTAATAAACAGTATATGCCAAGAATGCAATGTCCTACCTGCTCTCTCTCTTTAGGCCATTTCTCTTGTACTGTTTTCAGGGAGCAACCTTAAAGGATGAGGTGATATCTGCATCACAGACAATGGGCAGGCTTGCTTATTGCTTGCTATAAAAATGGTGGAATCCCCAAGCTCCACTCTCCTTGACTGTAATGTAAACCCACTGCATTCATCTGACCCAAACTGTATGTGAATAAAATTGTAATATTCCAGAATATCTCTCCAGCTTTAGTACATCTCCATATGCACAGGAGTTCCTAAGGGGTAGAGAGAAGTAGTTCATTTCCATATCAATGGATAATTACCTGGGCAACCCAGGGCTTATCTAAACCTGAGAGGTTGTGAGGAGGTCTCACTTGTTTCTGCTGGAGCAGGAGGGAGAAATGGCCCTGGATCACAGTTCGTAAGCAATAAATGGGTTTTAAACTTTATTTCTCTCTTTGACTGATTTTGATTTTAGAGGTATTTTGCCCTGGGATTTCCTCTCCCCGGAGTTACACTCAGTAAAGATTTTGAGTCAGAAAAAGAAGAGAGTGCAGTGGGCTGGGGGTAGAAAGGCTTGAAAGAGAGCTACAGGGAAGGGTATTGAATTTGGTTACGATGTGAATAATAATGTGGAATGGGAACACAAGATTCAGAAGAGAGGGCTGTTAACAGCAACCTCCTCTATGATTCTATTGCATTTTGTTGACACCTCTGTGTGATGTTGCAATCAGTATGTTTTTTTCCTCTGTTGAGAGATTTCTAAGGGCAGTGATATGTTTTGTTCACTTTTTAAATATTTGGCATCTGTCACCTCATAGGCATGCAATAAGTGCTGAATAAATGATGGATGGGTAAATAAATGTATGAATAAAGATTGAAGATGCACAATTTGATAGAGCAGATTGAGTGAGTGTGACACAGGGACACAGAAAGGTAGAATGATGCCACACTAAGACCTTGAATATCAGGCTAGAGGGACTGAACAAAATGACTGGGCTGCCATTGTCAGGCATTGATGTGACATTAGAAAGTTACGTTAGGAAGATATATTCAGAGTGATGTGCACAGGCAAGGGATGAGCCTACAGGAGGAAAAAGAGTTTGGGGGATGTTACAATAGTCCAGGTCTAAGGGTTCTCTAAAATGTTGCTATTGTTACATTTTTAACAAGACCCATGTGATGTGACAAGAAAAAATTAGGATCATGCTCCCTGGGAGTCAGCAGGGAAAGGGAAGCCAGTATCACTGTCGTGTTATTTTATTCCAGAACACTAAGGGTGGTAGTGTTAAGTGGTTGGCTGGCTGGCTTCCCAAGCTCCTGTGCAACCTTGTGATCCTCTGAGTCGCTCCTACTCTGCAGGGGAGCTCTGTGGGGAGCGGTGATCAGATGGCACCTTTGCACATGACCATTTATCATAAAAGAGAGGAGTGCATCCTAAGTAGCAGAGTGAACTTTATCAGTTGCTGGAGAGCTGGCTTCCCCTCTGGTAGGCAAGGATCACAGTGTCATCCCCACAGCTAAGTGCCTTCCATGTCAGGGCTCAGAAACCTTACTCAGGTTAGATGATGACTCAGCCCTACCTCCAGGCCTGCAGTTGTGCCAGGCTCACCATTGTAACAGAAGGTCGAAGCCGTTAAACGTTTTCATGTGTTGATTGATGTATTGGGTAAGTTATGTACTCTCAAAAACCACTGTTGAATCCAATGGGGAGGAATTTCTCCTTCAATCCAGGTCGCTGTGCATTGTTTTCTTGGCTGGCCAGTGCACAGACACCTGCCCTGCTACCCTCAGCACACGGGCCTTTGTTCCTGGGAAAGGAGCAGGAAACTCTTCGCTGTCTTTCAAGCTGCTTACGATAGGAGGTACCAACTGATACCTGGCCACTGTGGTTGTCCTTGGTCATATGTTCTGGGATTGAAGGGGCTTTGTACCAGAACTTCTGTGCCAGTCAAAGCAACAAAGTGGTGGATGCAATCTCAGTTGCCAAGACTTTTCTTGCACCCCAGCTTTCTTTGCCATTGCCAATCCAAACCAGAAGCTTATCTAGAATATCTGACTCAGAGATGATAATTTCACTCTAACATTTTATCAAGAAAAATTTCAAACATAGTTGAAAGAATTCTATAGTGTAAACACATGTAGCCATACCTAGATGCTACCATTAACATTTGCTATGCTTGCTTTACCACATGTCTGTACATCTATAGTAGATCATTTTTTAACTATCCCTTCTTTTATACAATGAAAATAGTTTCAGTCATAAACAAAAGAATGGTTTCCTCAACACAATGAAAATAGTTTCATGAATTAAAATGAATAATAATAATGGTTAGAAAAAACTGAAAATTCCACTCAAATTTGTATGTATAATTATGCTAAAAAATAAAGTTAACAATAAATATTGCATACAAAATATCACATATAAAAATATTAAACATGGCAGTTTATACCCTGCATACCTATCTTAAATTTTCAATATAAATTAACTTCAAATGGTCACATAGAATAACAGAAATGAAAATAACTGAAGTTTCATTTCTTCATCTTTATAATCATCCTGCTATTATTACTTATGTTGAATCTTTTGTTTAAATGCAGGAATATATAGACCTACAGGGATTGTTTGAGACAAGGATTCTGCTCCAACTAAATTCAAATGATGACTGACCATTAGAAGCTTACTCTTAAAATAAACATGTGTCAGACAGTCTTTTGTGTTTGAGACCAACTGAACAAAATTAATTTTTAAAATAAACTTGTTTTCAAAATTAATTTTCATGACAGTCATTCTTTATTTAAAAATGGGTAATAAAAATGTGTTCATCTGAAGCTTACATATATATTATGAAAATTCAATTGTAAGAATGGCAGTTGTTTTGAACTTATATTAATCTAAGATTTTTTTTTCAGGGAGGAATATTTTATCACAGACATTATATAGAATTGTTAGCATATAGTAATTTTTAAAAAATCCTTTAGTTGGCTTTATAATTGTTTTTAAATTCTGTACATGTCATGCAGCTTCCTGTGATTTGTTACCCCTCCCCCCTCTTGGTGGTGTCAAAGAGATACGGAGCTGGACACTAGTGAAAGGCTGTGAAGACACAGTACTGTGGCAATAGGAGAAAGAGACTTCAGAACAGAACTCAGCTCAGTTCCAAATACAGCAAAGACAGCTGGTGATTTATGACCAAGGAGCAGAGTGAGGGCACCAGTGTCTGGAAAATTACTAAGATTATCAAGGGTAGGTGGATTGTTGCTAAAGGCAGGCCAAGGCTTCATCAAGGTCAGGACTTGAAGAGCTTGATCAGATATTAAGGGTGATCAAATATCAAGGCAGGGACATCCTCACTAAACTGACAGTAAGATTCTTGCTTCAAATGTACTAGGCAGGCTGAGGGCTGAAGACAGGGCCAAAGGTTAAGGCCCAGTTGAAAAGAGGGGTCAGAAGAGCCTGGGCAAAGCTTGACTCTCAAGCAGAGAGTCTTTGTCAGTAGCCACGACCCAGGACATACAACTTGCATATACTGGTGAGATGAGCACTTCTAGAAATAAGAGAGATAATACAGAAAGGACAAGCAAGTAAATTAAAGATGATTTCATCATTAGGTTTCCAAATTTCATAATTATAAAGCCTAAAGCATTATCAGTCATTTAATCAGTGTTATTAATAAATAACAAAAGCCAGGAAGTGACTTTGTACAATATGACATAATCCGTCATTCTGTCTTTATCTAGTTTTATCTTTGCTGACTGTCAGCAGGCAGTTTCTCCCTTGCTTTCTTATGAACGGCCCTTAAATACCAGAGTCTGTGTCCAGATCTGAGCAGTGTTTCTCCTTTCAAGGGTAGTTGGCCAGCTTTCCATTGACACCCAGTACCCACAGGGAAGCATGTCCACATCACAGGGACAAGGTGTGTAGTCACGTGCAATCCTAGCCTTTCTCCTCCGCTGTCTGCTGAGGAACATTCTGACAGTGCCTCGCACAGTTACTGCCCTCTTCCCACCCTTGAACTGAGTTCAGGTTGATGAGGGAAGAATGGGAGAGATGGGAATGGAATTTTCATCAGAAAGAGCCAGGGTTTGCTGAGGATGCCGAAAGGCGGGGGAGAAAAAAGAAAACTGCCCTCTTGGAAAAGGATTTTCAGAGAATATAGCTGGAATGTTGGGAGCAGAGTAAGGGAGTGAGGCCTTTCTGGAGCAGGCATGAGATGTGAGCAAAAGAAATGGGTTATGGGATTTCTAAGGAGCAGTGCTGAGGGTTATAAATTCAATCTCTTAATATTCTTTAGAAGACGCAGGCAAAAATTTTAATGACTTGTAAATAGTTTGTGGTTGTTGTTTGAACTGTGTTCTTGTGAGGCAGCCTTGCCTTGAGGCTCAGGGCTGAGGGGTCTGAGACACATAGAGGTACATTAAGCGACCTTTGGTGTGGGGTACAAAGCTGACTGCCAGGTCCCTTTAACATCCACTGTATAGCAATGAGGCAGCTTCAGTTTCTGAACTGGACCCGGTGGAGGTAAATTGATTCCTTTCCTCTGAAAGCTACCTTGAATACAGCGACCAATTCTCCAGCGAAAAGGGAAGTGGGTGAGAACTGGCTTTGAGACACCTCTGGATGTTCACACGCAGAACACCCAAAAATGGACAAAGCAATGAGTGGTGTTTCATCTAAACCAGCTGATGTGAATGTAAGTACAGTGTGGGAAGCCTTCTTGCAATGCTATTTATTGTTGACTCTGTTAGTAAAATAAGACCATGCTACTTATAAAAGTGAAGGGAACAGTAATGGAATACTTTATCTTTCTATGGTTCTTAATGGATTTTACAACTGTGAGCTGGTTTTAAAGTGCTGTACTTGGCAATTATTTGCAGCTGTTTTTCTAAAACTCCAGGGAAAATTGTACTGATCTCTACACAAATTCCATGTTAAAATTTAATCGGTGCTAACCGAGACTGCCTGTAATGTGTTCCTGCATTTAAAGACCCAGCCTTGAACTTGCTGGTTCTCTATGTGCTCGTGTTTCTGTGTGTTTCCCTTTTTAACTTCTTTGGGGGAATATTTGAAAGGATCTGGAAACCATAGTCAACTCATCCTGCAGTAGAACATGTTTCTTCTTAGAAATGCCATCCTCACTCCTGCAGGACAGCACATTACTGAGGCCTGTCTAGTTCAGTTTCACTGGAAGGGGATATAAGCTACATTTCGCTCCCAGGGTTGACAAGGGTGGTTGGCAAAAAGAATGAGGGAGCCATGAATAATTCAGAATGCACTTGGCCACATGTTATCCCATGAATTGGTAGGATTAAAGGATGGAATGCAAGTACTTCCAAAGGAAGAGAGAGGGAGACTAAGAGAAAATGAGAGAACTCTTAAGAGGAGCTCAAAAGAGAGGTTATTTCTTTGGAATTGCTGTTCTAGACTGTGTCCTTTAAAATAATGTGTGTGTAACTCCTGGGGGGAAAATCTATCTTCAGTCCAGGGCAAATTACCTTTGAAACCAAAATCAGTCAAAGGGAGAAATAAAGTGGGACAAATCTGTTTATTGCTTACAAGCAGTTGTCCACTCCTGCTTGCCTGTGACTCTTATGACCTGGTTGCAAAAAGGGACCCCAACTGACCTCTCTGGTCCAGATGCGCCCTCCTCACTCCCCCTTGTAATTACCTACTGATATGGAGATGGACTACTTCTCTCCACACCTTGGAAATACATATTGACATGGAGATGCACTAAGGCTCGGTGAGAGATTCTGGAAATAATTGCAGTTTTACCCACAGTGTGGTTAAAAGTTATTTCATCACTGGAGATTAGTTACCCTGACACGTATAAATCTCTCCTTCAAAGAGGCTAAACTCTGGCATACATTATTAAATAATTCACAGCATCAGTTGACAGGGTAGAGGAGAATAAGAAACAGGAGGGGTAACAGTTAAATAATGTATGTTTTCCTCTTGCACATAACACTTTGCACATCAATACACAAAACCCAATAATTTTCTAATCTAACGTGAATCCTCTATTTCATTCTTTATTTTAAATCATTCTTTCATTTGTGGTTGAGAAACTGAGTCACTGATCAGTTCATTGGCTGTCTGAGAGGTGCACACACACGGGAGGCAGTGGTGAAAGGAGAACTTTGATTCCTCTCCAGCAGCCCCACACACGCCAGAGCACCGTTCCGAACCTTCCTAACAACCAGTCATCAAGCCATAATTAGGAAATCACTCCATTTCTATGAAGGAGACTCACTTATATTATTTCAGTCCTACTTCATGCCAGAAGAAATCAGTTACAGAAGAAAAGCAATGTAATACCAACATTTGAGACACACATTTCCACAGCTGAGCTGTGTACACATGAAGTGAGCCATGTGGAATCCTAACCTCATGAGCTTCACTATAGTCTACACTGCATGAAATTCTCCATCCTCTCCACCTATTTAACAGAACTAGAGATAGTTCAGTTTCACTGGAAGGGGATATAAGCTACATTTCGCTCCCAGGGTTGACAAGGGTGGTTGGCAAAAAGAATGAGGGAGCCATGAATAATTCAGAATGCACTTGGCCACATGTTATCCCATGAATTGGTAGGATTAAAGGATGGAATGCAAGTACTTCCAAAGGAAGAGAGAGGGAGACTAAGAGAAAATGAGAGAACTCTTAAGAGGAGCTCAAAAGAGAGGTTATTTCTTTGGAATTGCTGTTCTAGACTGTGTCCTTTAAAATAATGTGTGTGTAACTCCTGGGGGGAAAATCTATCTTCAGTCCAGGGCAAATTACCTTTGAAACCAAAATCAGTCAAAGGGAGAAATAAAGTGGGACAAATCTGTTTATTGCTTACAAGCAGTTGTCCACTCCTGCTTGCCTGTGACTCTTATGACCTGGTTGCAAAAAGGGACCCCAACTGACCTCTCTGGTCCAGATGCGCCCTCCTCACTCCCCCTTGTAATTACCTACTGATATGGAGATGGACTACTTCTCTCCACACCTTGGAAATACATATTGACATGGAGATGCACTAAGGCTCGGTGAGAGATTCTGGAAATAATTGCAGTTTTACCCACAGTGTGGTTAAAAGTTATTTCATCACTGGAGATTAGTTACCCTGACACGTATAAATCTCTCCTTCAAAGAGGCTAAACTCTGGCATACATTATTAAATAATTCACAGCATCAGTTGACAGGGTAGAGGAGAATAAGAAACAGGAGGGGTAACAGTTAAATAATGTATGTTTTCCTCTTGCACATAACACTTTGCACATCAATACACAAAACCCAATAATTTTCTAATCTAACGTGAATCCTCTATTTCATTCTTTATTTTAAATCATTCTTTCATTTGTGGTTGAGAAACTGAGTCACTGATCAGTTCATTGGCTGTCTGAGAGGTGCACACACACGGGAGGCAGTGGTGAAAGGAGAACTTTGATTCCTCTCCAGCAGCCCCACACACGCCAGAGCACCGTTCCGAACCTTCCTAACAACCAGTCATCAAGCCATAATTAGGAAATCACTCCATTTCTATGAAGGAGACTCACTTATATTATTTCAGTCCTACTTCATGCCAGAAGAAATCAGTTACAGAAGAAAAGCAATGTAATACCAACATTTGAGACACACATTTCCACAGCTGAGCTGTGTACACATGAAGTGAGCCATGTGGAATCCTAACCTCATGAGCTTCACTATAGTCTACACTGCATGAAATTCTCCATCCTCTCCACCTATTTAACAGAACTAGAGAGTTTGAGAAGACTGGGGAACCATTTTGCTGAGATTCTGATCTTAACTATGCGATTTAATACAAGTCCTTTTATTATGTTGTAACTCTTTGGGGGAAAAAATTTTCCCAGCCTGGGGTAAATTACCTTTGAAACCAAAATTAGTCAAAGGAGAAATAAAGTGGGAGAAACTCATTTATTGCTTACAAGCAGTTGTCCACTTCTACTCGCCTGTGCCTCTCATGACCTGGCTGCAAAAAGGGACCCAACTGGTCCAGATATGCCCTCACTCCCCCTTGCTATTGATATGGAGATGGACTATTTCTCTCCACTGCCTGGAAATACCTATTGATATGTGTAAGGCTGGAGGTACTGGAGGGAGGAAAGCGAGGACAGTGCAAGCTGAACAAAGACAGCACCAAATAGCTCTGTGTCATATAAGGAAGGAACAGACAGTTCTTCCTGGATTACAGTCCTGCAACAGGCTGACAAACCCCAGATGCAGATCCCCTCCATCTGGAAGGAGGAGACCTCTGGCTGTCCAACACCCGACCCTGAGCCAATAAAAATTCCCCACATAACCCTGGCGTGGCCCACTTCCTCCTCCCTTCCCTGTGCTTATAAAAACTCCCCACCTGTCTGGTTGGGTGTGACTTCTCCAGCCTGTGTCTGTGCAGACTGGTAAACCTCGCCCAGGATGGCGCTCAAATAAACTGCCTGGCCTTTTGTTGCCTCTCCTCGCCTGCTCATTTCGGTTAGAATTTATCTTACAATATGGAGATGCACTAAGGCCAGGTGAGAGATTCTGGAAATATTGCAATTTTACCCACATACATTCATATACATCATTCGACTGATTTATTCAGGCCTTTTTGCAGTGAGATTCTCCTGACTGGGTTGTTCCAGTCTAGACTACTAGGCTACTTCTACACTCTAGACTACTTCTAAATAATACTGTATCTTTCTTTCTTTTTAAGATATCCAATATCTCAATTCAGGTGGTTAGTGCCCAAGGGAAGCTGCCTGGGAGACGACCACAGAGAAAACCCATTGGAAAATCCAGACCCAAGAAGCAGATCAAGAAGAAAGCTCCCTTTTGGAATGTCCAGAGTAAAATTCTCCTCCTCACAGTGTTTTTATTCATCCTGGCCATCACAGCCTGGACACTCCTGTGGCTCTACATCAGTGAGTTAAAATCTGTGTTCCCTCGGGGCTTGGGCTCACCCTGTAAGTTCAGCATCAGCCATGCCAGCCCGATCTGCCCCTGGGTGTTTCTGATAGAATTTTCCCATTTCCCAGACTGACAGCCATATCCAAAACTGTTGATTTGAAAGAGGAAGAAGTTGTCTTTCCCGTATCTCCTTTGACCACCAGGGCTTTCTTCACATAGGACAGCAAGAGGACCAGAGGTGGGGTGTAGGATGAGAAGGGGTGGGGCTGATGCTCAGCAGCTTTTGAGTAGCTCAGAAATATAATGCATTTTTAGCTTTAGAAACTGAATGGAATTCTAAACTGTTTCATTTCCTCTTGCCACCCACTGCTTGTTTCTAGGCAACCTTACATTTCCAACTCTCTTAGCTTCATTCTATTCATGCATCTTTCTCTCCTCTGTTTTTATCTATCTGATTTTTGGTTATGTGTTTGTCCATCTGATCAATCCTTCTGGACAAGAGTTATAACTAAGCTCTTTCTTATAGATTACTTATCCATGCAGTTCAGTAACAAAATAATTTGTTGACTTATACTGGCCTTCCCACCTTTACATGTTAATGTATGTGAGACAAGATAAATGTTCTCTCAAGGATGTTAAGATTTTGTTGGAAAGCAAGATGTATAGGGAAGGAATTAGTGAATAACATATTGAACAGTTCAGGTTACTCACATACATGCAAATCAATCACTTATAATTTGTGTGGCACAGTATAAAATATCAGACACACTAAGATGCATCTCCTACCTTCAGAAAACTCACAAATGCATTTTCTACTTAAAAACAAATACACAGCTCAGTGCTGGAGAGGGGGTGTGAGTTGATTTTCTTTCTTTCTTTCTTTTTTGCTTATGCAATTATTTTTGCACACACAGATGAGAGACATTCAACCTGCTCAGGGATAGAGTCCAGAGAAGGCTTGAACGGATTCTTAAAAATACATTTGACACAGCCTGGGAGTGCCCACCATGGACTGGACTCTGTGATGGGCTTGATAACTGAGTAGTAGACAAGAAAGAATCTCTTTCTTAGTCGGGGAAATCAAACCAATGGGCAATGAAGACAAATGCAAAACACACACAACCCAAAACAAACCAACTTGTTTCTCATTAGTTCTCTGCTGGCCCTTGACTGGTACATTTGGATTGCCCTAGCATTTTTGTCCAAACTTTTGGAACATCACTGTGTAGAAGTATTTTACTGGCTGTGGAACAATTCAGAGAAGGGTATTTCAAGAAAAGAAACCCATATGAGCAAAGGAAATTGGTATGAACAAGAGCTGTTCAAAAAACAAGAAAGCTTGGTTTTTGATACATGGCATTTGGGCATGGTGGGTGGCCTTGAGAAATGAGCTGGATGGCTGATCAGGGTGACCATATGACCATACAGGGTTTTATATTTTGGGCTGAGCTAGAGGGTTGGGTAAGTGGAATCTGGTTTAAGGCTAACTTGATCTCCCTTGCACTGTTGTCATCCCTACTCTGGAGTACTTACTGAAATGAGGAGAATGTGCAAGCTTCAAATAGAAGGCAAAGCTTTCACCAAATTTTAAAGAGTCTGCCATGAAAAAAAAATCTAAGAAGCACTTCCCTGTTAAAATCAGAAATAACAACCATTGTCTTATACTGGCATCCTAGTGAGGCAAGGTGATCCATCCAAAGCCACCTAACTTGAAAGAACAAATCTAGGACAGCAGTTGCGGCCTCATGCCCTTCCCTGGCACCCCTTCCCCATCCCTCCACAGCCCCCCTGCACTTCTTGGGGCCAACGTGACCCTGGATGGGTCATATAAGGGAGGCTGCTTCCTGTCACTCACAGGGGCGGCACCTTCCTGACCCAGCCATTTCTTATGGAGCATTTCCATCACCGGGAGTTGTGCTAAGAGAGAATTTTCTCGCCCTCTCCTTCTCCCGGCTTCCTCTCACCCTTCCTTCCCTCAAACACATGTTGAGCATTAAAGCGAAGTCAGGCACTACCCTACATTAGGGGCCAAGGGGCCAAAAGAAGTTGCTGTTCCTTTTGAAGGACAGACACGCAGACAGAAGTTTGATGCAGTGTATGTCACAGAAAAGAAATGTACTGCAGCCGGGGGAGCGTGGTGCTGCTGAGGAGTGAGCCTTGGAAACAAAAAGGAAAGGCAGAAAGGAAAGCCCCTGTTTGGGCTCTTCTCAGGTGCCCAGAGGCAACAGACACAGCAGGGTCTTTGCTGTCTTGTCAGCAGTTTCCTGGCAGGCCTGACACCCATCTGCATCCTTACTGGGCAGAGTAGTTGAGCTGAAGTGACCTGATGCTGGGCTGAGCACCACATTCTGTGGCTCATCAGAAGAATGAATTTTCCATGCACTCCATGGAGCTGAGGAATGGCCAGCACCTGGGGTTCCCCAAGGCAGTCAGTCAGATAGGGAAGGAGTGCCGAGGGGCCCGGTGAAACTCAGTTGGAGGGCCCCCCTCTCCTCCCCTGTGCCCACTTCATCTCGGCGCCTGGCACTATACATGTCCTACCTCCTTACCTTTCCCAGACTCAGGGTCCATGAAAACTGAATGTGCTCTCTTGGGCCCCTCAGTGACTGTAGGCCTGTTATGAAGTCAGAGGCATATCTTTTACCTTTTAATCTTGTTCTTAAGTATTTGCCAGTAGAAGGAATATTTATTCCAAGGCATAGGGCAATTTACTGCTGATGGAGGAGACATTATTAACTACACCTAGAGCTTCTCAGGCTATTGACCTGTGAAATATGTCGCTGCCTAATAAAATCATTTTAGGAGCTTGATACATACATACATCAGACAATGATTTCCTTCTGCACACATGGAAGTCCCTATCTGCCTTCTCTTCTGTCTCACAGATAAGACAGAAAGCAAAGATGCTTTTTACTTCGTTGGGATGTTTCGCATCACCAACATTGAATTTCATCCTGAATACCGACAGAAGGAGTCCAGGGAATTTCTGACGGTGGCGCAGACTGTGCAGCAAGTGGTGACGTGATGGGTGGGGGTTGCTGGGAGGCTGCAGAGGGTGGGGTCAGGGGCCAGAGGGGAGAGGGATGGAGGCAGAGGGGTCCCAAGTGTCAGAGGTGAGTAGAGTGGGTGGAGGAAGCAGTCAGAGGGAAACATGCATCTTAGGTCATCTTGCTGTAATTGCTTATTTGACGGAATTACTGGCTTAGCTTGTTCTGCCAAAAGTTAAAAGAAATGGCTCTGAGTTTCAGTTTTTCTCACCTGAAATAAAAGAATTGGATCAGGTGCTCTTTAAAGTGCCTGTCAGAGCTGAGGTTCCCTGCGGACTGATTGCTCTGTGATCTGTACACACTTACTGCAACCACAACGCACTGGCAGCTCTTCAGATGAAAAGAAAAGAAAAAGATTGCTCATTACAGAACTGATCCATGTTTATTCTAAACATCTATAAAATTCAGAGAAGTATACAAAAGAACATTAAAATTTCCTTTAACATCATCGCCCAAGACAGTCCCTTTTTATTCTGGACCATGTAGACATAGGGGATGGTGGAATATTGGAGTATTAGTAGATACTCAGTTTTATAATCCGATTTTATCCTCTTAACCTTAGGCTGCAGGTTTCTATGCAAATAAATATTATTTAAAATACTTAAATATTCATAGCTACAAAGTTAGCACACCCATTTTTATTTGGGTATTTAAGGTTTACTTTTGCTACTACAGGCAATGCTGTGACAAAATGCCCACAGAAGTTGTCTATATTTGTGATTACTTCCTTCAGTGATTTCCAAAGCAGTGACTTTTAGTTAAGTAGAAACTGCTCAAATAGAAAAATATCTATTTGTGGCTCTGGGTACACATTACCAACTAGAAAGGTTCTGCCAGTCTGTACCTGCACAGCAATGGAGAGGGTGGCCTGCACATGGGGACTCTCCCACAGTGACAGCGCCCTGCAGTGTGGACTGCAGGAGGGTTGTGAGGTCAGCAAGCACAGACAGCAGCGGGTGCAGCGGCTCTTCTTTACTGAACCCTTTCCATATACTGGGCACATGGTTAAATGTGTTACCTTTGACATATACCAGTTATTCCTCAGGGAGGTGGGAGGAAGACAAGTTTGAAAGATTAACCCAAAGAGGTAGGCATTTTGATCACCACTACAGATTTAAATGAAGGAAGGGAGGAAGGAAGGAAGAAAAAAACGGCAGGGACTCATCAGGTTTAGGTGTATTGTGTTGCTCAGTGAATTTAAACTCCACAATTAGATAGGTGCTTTTGCCATTATGTAGGAAGGGGTCTACAGCTGGGGAAGAAAATTTGGTAGAAGAGACTTGGTTTGGTTTTAGAAACGTTAAGTAAGGGCAAAGAAGGTAAACTGAAATAGGTCTTTTGAGACCCAGTGCCAGAATTTTTAAAGGGCTCGGTGTTGTTGCCCTGGACTGGAGAATTGGGAAGGGGGATGGTGGACCCGGCTGCGGGCACCTCCCGTCCCCTAGTGGTTAATATGGGACTGTGTCCTTAAGAATATAAATTTTCCATGCTGTTCATTGATAGGAAAAGAGGTTGGGCCAAATACTTTGGAAATGTGGCTAAAAGAGTTTATTATTTGTGCAGAAAATTAACCTTTGGAGTAGTCAGACTACAGAACTTAAACTTGATTAAGGTGTATAAAGACAGCAATAAATAAAGTAACTGATTATCCTTCACAGAGAGAATGAAAATAAGTCACCGCTGCTACGAAAGTAAGAATGTATTTGAACTCAAGGAGTAATGTCTGCGATTGGAGTTAGAGGCCTTTAGCTTGAGCCTGGCTCTTCTCCTTGCTGCCTGTCAGAGCTTGGACCTAACCTCAGCTAGGTGCTGTGGCAGGAAGACAAGTTTGAAAGATTTCAGACAGCTGGCTTCTTTTTTCAGGTAAACCTGGTTTACACAACATCGGCCTTCTCCAAATTTTACAAACAGTCTGTCGTTGCTGATGTCAGGTAAGGTATGTCCCTTCTTTGGAATTTCTATCTTCCTGCTGGAAATCCTCTCACGGCTGGGGAAGGGCTGAGATATCACCATTCTCAAGTAACTTGTGGGGGGCGGATGTGGGTTAATATATTTTTAGCCCAATAGGGACCCAATTCATGCTGTCATGCTGAGTTTTTCCCTTCATCTACCAAAGCCTGCCCCTTTCCTGTAGCTGGATCCTGGGCCCCTCTGATAATGCCACTGGGCAACATGGCCATCAACATGACTACTCGGTTGGGTGGGGGCAAAAATCAAACACACACCTCTACTTCTCCATATATGTATGGTAAACAAAAAATAGTTCATAGAGATTTTCTGAGTAAAAAACATCTTACGGTCAAGTAATTTTTATTAGAATTTATTTTATTAAATTAGAAAATTAATTTATTAACATTTATTTTTAAATTGTGCGCCATATACTGGATCCCACCTTCCCTACCCCGATACAGCTGCTGAGATTCACAATCCACTCTGGATGCCAAAGGCAGTGGGAAGCCTTGGGGTAAAGCAGTTTGCGTACCGTCTTTCACCTTCCATTTCCCAAGTTATCTACTGGAGAACACACTCCATCTCTCTCTCTCTCTCTCTTTTCATAAAGCATGACAATATTTGCAGTTAGGAGCTCCTGCCCCGGGGTCAGGCTGAAAACCAAATTAGGCTCAATTCCTGCATTTGTTGCTGACTAGCTGCGTGATTCCGAGTTGTAATTGGTCTCAGTTTTCCTATAATTTGGTTTTGTCTTCCTTGTGAGATCAAATGGGATAAAGCAAACTCACCACCCTGTCTGGACATGGTAAGATATAAAAAATTATAACTGTTGCTATTTGTTGTTATGTTGATTGATACCCATAGAAATAGTACATTCCCCATAGAGATGCAAATATACATTAACCTTTTCAGGTCTGAAGCCAACACAAGAATACACATGTCATGATGCTTTCCCTTTCCAACCCCCATAACAGGAGTCAGTGACTTCCTAAAGAAGGAAGGTGTGTTCTGGTGAGGTCAGCGCTCACTGGTCTCACCTCAAATTTCTCAGTTGAGTCACTGGCTCCCTATAGAAGTCTGCTTCCTAAGAGGTATCCCCCAACAGCTCTCCTTTCTCACTCTAGCAACAGCAGCAAAGGTGGCCTGCTTATCCACTTTTGGGTTGTGTTTGTCATGCCGCATGCCAAGGGCCATATCTTCTGTGAGGACTGTGTGGCTGCCGTCTTGAAGGACTCCATCCAGACAAACATAATAAACCGGACCTCTGTGGGGAGCTTGCAGGGGCTGGCTGTGGACATGGACTCTGTGGTGCTAAATGGTGATTGTTGGTTAATTCTCTTTTAAGAATTCCTTCTGCACCAGTCCTGTAGCAGTCAATATTGTAATGAAGTGTTCTTTCCACTACCCCAGTGGAACAGGATGAGCTGAGGACATTGGAGCTACAATGACAAAGGAAGTTGTTAAGTGTTACAAAGAGTGATTGGACAATAGAATTGGAGTCACAATATATATGAAATTGCACTTGTGAAAGGTACCCTATATTTAGGTCAGCTTTGTGGATCTTCAAACTAAGGCTCCAAGTCCTAGAGAGGCAAGAATTCTGCTGAGGCTTGTCTTGTCTCTTCCCTCACCCAGACAGAACTGCACTTGGGCTACGCTACAGTGGCGCCCAATGTTCCCAAATGGCCTGCCCCATGGCCACGTCGAAGTGCAAATTCCATCATTTGTCTTGATGGTAAAATGGTCTATGTACTATGTGACCCCAAATTTATGCAGCGTTCTCTTTTGATTTAATATGCCAGCTTGTGGTAGGTGGCTGATAAGTACTTGTTAAATGAATGAATGAAAAATCTCTAGTGGAAACATCTGCACCATATATACGATTTCAGATATAGGACTAATTATTATATTTATTGGGTCACTTTTTTACCTTTAAAAATATTTAAAACTTGTTACTATGGTTGATTTCAAGCATACAAAAGTAAAGAGAATGATGTAATGAACTCTTATATACCCTTTCCTGGGCTTCAGCAAGTACCAATTCAAGGTGTCCTATTTGATCTCTAAAATACCTAAACAACCTCCCCTACCCTCCCTGGATTATTTTAAAGCAAATCCCAAATGTGTTGGATTGCTTTTAAAGGACTGAAAATCAATTTTACTAAGCAAAATTCTGACAAAATGAAATGCTGGAACTGAGTGTCTTTTCTATGTGTTTTTTCCATGCAGCTGGGCTTCGGTCAGATTACTCTTCAACCATAGGATCTGGTAAATCATGTCGTGTAATTTCTTTTCCTGCACCCCCTCCACCCCCACCTCCAAATCAGTGTCCTTTTAGGCTGTAGTTTTCTTTTTCAGATGATGGTATTTGTTCCTGCTCTTTCAGTTGCTAGTGACAGAAATACATCCAAACTGTCTTGGGCAACAAAGAAACATGACTGGCTCTTGTAACTGGGACATACCTGGAAGTGTGCTGGCTTCAGGCATGTTTGGGGCCAGATTCTAAAATAAAATATCATCAGGCCTCTGCTTCTCTGCTTCCCTCTGTTGAATGTGTTTTTCCAGTGTGGTGTCCTATGTGGTAACCTATAGATCCAAGCTTATAATTTCTCAGTGAAGCAGTTGTGGTAGAAAATCAATGGTACAGGTTTTCTGATAGCTCCTGCAGAAGTCCTGGGGCTGAGTGCTTTGTCTCAGCTTGGCTGACATGCCCATTTATAAACCAGCCTCTCTGACTTGGACTGGCCCTTCTGGGTCACGGGCCCTCCTCTGGACCTACAGCTGAGTTTAACCCCAATCGAACCTATAGGGTTTCATATACACAGGTCAAGGATAGTTTTTCAAGGTAAAATCTTGGTGCTGTTGCCAGAGGCAAGGAGAGTGGACTGCAGGCTGGCAAAGACACCCAATGTCCTCCACGTGACCTCTTTTGCTCCTTACTCTTCCATAAAGATGTCTAGAAAAGTTACTCCTAAAACAAAACACAATGCAAGTGCTGTCTCCACAGACAAAGGCTGCTCTCGGCACTTCTATGCAGATCACCTGTCTCGCTGCTACCCTCTGGAGATTTCTGCAACCTCAGGGAGGCTGATGTGCCACTTCAAGCTGGTGGCCTTGGTGGGCCATCTGATTCGTCTCTCCATAGAGTCTGTCCAGATTGAGGCTGACAACTGTGTCACGGACTCCCTGGCCATCTATGACTCCCTCTTGCCAATCCACAGCACCGTCCTGTATAGGTATGAAGCAGGCACTCTGGCTGGCAAGGCAAAAGATTTTTCACAATGTTTCTGTTTTGCAATATCTTGATTCCCCTTGGATTTTTTAAAACCATCTTTGGGTAGACATCTAAGGTCAAAGACTGACCCATGCCCTATTTAGTAGCCCCTGTATTAGCCAGAACCTATTAGAAACAATATGTGCTTTACACTTGTAGCATACAAAAGTCAAATCAATACAGCAGGAATGTCAATATTTCTGAAACATAATAGACTTTTTGTTTAATTTTACTCCTATTGCAATCACAATGAAGACTATTTTTCAAAGGATATGAGAATAAATATTCTATGGTGATAGCATAACATAAGTAAAATGATTAAACATTTTTTTCCTTATTATAAAGATAATACAATGTTCACTGTGAAAGTAAAGTCAGAGAATACAGTATCAACATTTCACAATCCTGTTATCCAGAACATGTGTCTGTTATATTTTTGCATAAGTTCTTTCATTGGTACATATGTGATTTCAGAGACATACACATACATACCCTGATACTTTTTACCTACTAGTAGACATCCTTGATGAGTGCATCATATTTTGAGGACATAATAGTGTAAGTTAGACTTCATTAAGAATTTACTGTGTGTTACTCACTGTGCTAAAAAGGCACACAATTTATCTTGTTTTTTAATAGTGTTTATGTGCATATGTAATGGCATTTTGCAGATGTATGTACTTGTATGTTTTGATGATGAATGAGCGTGTTAAAAATTCAAATGGTATCTCATGATATACAGAGGAAATTAAGTCTACTGCTGCTCCCACTCATCAGCAATTGTTATTTTCATCCTCATGGCAATGCTATGAGAATATGCTATTATTATTGCTTCCATTCATAGTAGGGAAACTGGCATTTATGAAGATTAGTTACTTGATTGTCTCTAGTTTCTCAGTCAGTGAAGTAATGGAGTTGAGTCTGAATGGGATTTTCCTTCGTATAAAGCCCACGAACTTAGCCATTAAATACCCTGCCTTTAAGCCTTGTTTGTTCGCAAGCAGAGTCTAGTGACAGCCACCCAGGAGAATTCTTCGGGAGTTACTGCACGGACATTGCTGTGCCTTTATCAGCTCCCCTCTGTCTGTCATGCCTGGGGGCCACTCATTAAGGAAGACCTGGCTGGTAGTCTGACTCACAAGAATTGTGTGCATGGCTCAGGAAATACATGGAACTGGCAGTGGGTGGAGGCCCGCTCCTCAGTGACCTGCTGCTCATGTACTTTTGTTTTCTGGTTTCAGAATTTGTGAACCCACAAGAACATTACTGTCATTTGTTTCCACAAATAATCTCATGCTGCTGACATTTAAGGCTCCTCAGATACAGAGGCTATCAGGAATCCGGGCGTACTTCGAGGTCATTCCAGAACAAAGTAAGTCTTACCTAGCTGAAAAGAAAGTCACCCTGAGAAGTATTTATTACAATACTCCGGTCTGCTCTCTCCCAAGGCTGTGTTGTAATATTAGCTGTATTAGTCAGAGATCTTGACTCAGGGTCCATTCAGATGAGAAAGAACGTAGTATTTTAACAGAGAGAATTTAATGTAAAGAACTGTTAATTTAGTAAAAAGGTGTAACTCAAAAGGCGAAAAGAAACCTGTAAGGTATCATGGATGTAACACATGTAGGAAGCAACTACCACCCATTGGTCTGCAGGCACAAAGGAAAGCACTTGGAAGGATTCATTTGCAGCTTGGAGGAGGGGTCTGTGGAAGGAAGCTCGGATGTCTGAGCAGGGGTTGCTGTGCAAGTGGGCTGTTGTCTCTGAGTACAGAGGCAGGGGCTCATGCATTTGGGACCCAGACCTCTGAGGAGCGGGTGCCAGACAGCTGAGGCTGGTGGCATCTCTGAGGGAGATGCGATAAAGTGGAAGTCGGCAAAGCTGCTACAGGACTGAACTCTGTTACAGGAAGGAAGTGTAGCTGCAGTGGATGAAGAAGCACTGGTGGGGTGACACTCCCAGGAAGAGGTAACAGGAAGTCCCATTCCTCCTCTGCCAGTCTTCCAGGCTCTCTTTGGTGCCCTCTACTGACAGACAGGAGAGGTAGCCGACAGGAAGCCAGGTGGCAATGGAGAGGTGTTTGCAGAGTCCCAGCCCCTGCATCACAGAACAGAGTAGAGAACGGTGGGAGGGTGGGTAGGACACTGAGAGGTACTAGCTCAGGAAGTAGCACATTCGACAGTCTTTATGAATTCTCCTTAGTAGGAATGCGTGTGAATGTCATTTTAGAAAATGCCTGTGCAGTAAAACTCAGAGGATTTAATGGGTTTTTCTAGGTCAGACTGAGCAAAAAGTAACCTCCTCTCTTTCTTCTCTTTTTAACTTGAGTTGATGAAGCAAAATAAAACAAAACAAAATTAAATGTGCCTTCACTGAAACTCTAGTTTTTCTGTTATATTTGTTGCCTTGTTACTGGTCAGATCGTACAGGTCATGTCTTGGTAACTTCTTTATGAGCATCAACAAAGCCAAAGGAGTCAGGATGGGAGAAGGGGGTGCGGAGGGGTGAGGATTTAGCCTAAGCAGATGCTGATAGCTACAGGTTCATCTACATTTTACAATAGTGGCTTATTTTGATAGATTTTATCCATCAAATGATTACAAAACCAAATTGGATGTACTGAACAAAACTGAATGAAATATTTGAGATACTGGTGGGTTGAAAATTATCCCTAGCTCCAAAGCTTAACAATATGATTACCTCAGAAGTATTATAGTGGAATTTGTCAACAAATATTTATTGAGCATCTACTAGATGCCAGAAATGATTCTAGGTGTCAGGTGCTAGGAAATGGCAGTAAGCAAAATAGACAAAAATCAATATTCTCAAAGAACTTACTTTCTAGCAGAAGCATGACCATGTCAGTAAGAATAGACACTTAGACTGTCTTATTTCAATAGAACAACATGTTCTGTAAGCTAGGTATATTTCTTCAGCAACAAATATATACTCCTTTGAACAAATAAGCTCAGAGGCTTTTAAAAATATGTATATTTTTAAAGAAAGTAATAGTGTCCTAGAGAGCAAAATACATGATTTGAGAACAGATATGGAACAGGTAGTTCAGCTATACATCTGTAAATGTAAGGGACTATTTCTTTTTAAACATCAGCTTAAACTTCAAAAAAATGTATAAGCTTGGTGATCAAGGTACTGTGCATTTGTAAAGAAATGTATATGGTATATTTCCATAATCTCACAACTGCAAGTCATTGTGCTGCTGAATATTTTTTTCAGAGTGTGAAAACAATGTGTTGGTCAAAGAAATCACTGGCTTTGAAGGGAAAATTTCAAGTCCATATTACCCAAGCTACTATCCTCCGAAAAGCAAGTGTACCTGGAAATTTCAGGTAGCCTAGTTTTACCACTATCTTAGAAAAACATAGTTATCTTATTTTTTAGTAGCAATTTATTATTTTATTTAATTACCCTTATTTTTTTAACCTACAAAAAGAATACTAGTTAATTTTATAATATTTAAACCTTATTGAAATATATTATCTACAGTATGAACATTCCTTGTAATTCCAACTCTCTGCCCACACATTAACTGCTCTTTACTGATGGGGCTTATTTTTCCAATTCATTATTTTGTTTGTTTGCATTAAAAAATGTAAAGACATTGTTATGACATTGTTATGGGATCAAACAATGTATTGTTTTATTATGGTAGAGCTCACGTATCAATTTTTATTATTTTTTCATTGGCATTTTAATAAGAATAAGTAACAAATTGAATTAGACAATACATATTTTGGTTGTATAAGCAAACCAGAGTAAATTTATATGAAATAAATACCTCTCCCCTCTGGTGTTAGACAGGGAATTCCTACTTTTTATTTTCTTTAAAATCTTAGTCTGTAAACTGTTTTTCTTTCCCCAGCTGTAGTATCATGTGCAGGAAGACACGGCAAGGTGTCCCCTTGGCTCTCTCAGCACATATATATAAAGTCGTTTTTGTGAGGCAGAGCAATTAGGTGTAAACAGCAAGCAGTATGTAGTTTGCACTCACTCAGTATGTTATTATTAAATGCCTACTATGTGTCAGGCGGTCGTCTAGACACAGATCCATGCAATCACACACACATACACACACACACACACACACACACACACACACACATACACACAAAGTTCTGCTCTCATAGAGCTTACCATACAGCAGGGGGAGACAGGCAACAGAAGAAGGAACAGTGAGCCACCGGCAGTCTGTGGCGGGTGGTCCGATCCAACACACACACACACACACAAAGTTCTGCTCTCATAGAGCTTACCATACAGCAGGGGGAGACAGGCAACAGAAGAAGGAACAGTGAGCCACCGGCAGTCTGTGGCGGGTGGTCCGATCCATGCTGTGGAGAAGGATGAAGCAAGAAGGGGCTCTGTAGCTGGGGGATGGGTGGGTGTGAAGGGTAGGAAGTCAGGGACTGGTTGTCTTACATGAGATGGTTGGGGACATTTGCACAAAAACCTGAAAGAGACGAGGGAACTAACCATTCCTCGGGAGACAGTGTTGCAGGCAAAGCTGGGGCAAAGACCCTGAGGCAGGAGTGTGCTTGCTGCATTATATATTTTGTCATAAAGCTAAATAGTTTTATAGTTCTATTATACCCAAATCTGTACTTGGTGTCAAGGTCCCGATAGCATACATGCTTAAGTTATCTTTTTCATTATTGCAAACATTTCCAAAATAATGAAAACATGAAGGTACTGGACTCTTGTTCATAGCCAGGCTCAAAATGCCTCAAGGTAGCAGAATCTCAGAGCCTTGGGTGAGTCTGAAGGTTGGGGAGAGTGAGGCGAAGCCATCAAATCTCTTTTCAATCTGTTCAAAAGAGCAGATACCTTTTCTTCATGGTATCTGGAACAAGAAAAGCCCTATCCCCAAAAGCTCGGTCAGTCATGCTGATTCCATGATATTTCATAAAACTTAAAATGAAAATCCCTATGCATTGCTGCGTTTAAGTTTCAGTTGGAGTGTAAATAAGGATATCAGATCTTTTTTCTGTTTTTTTTAGTGGTTGAGGGTTAGAAATGTTGAATAAAAAGAAATCCCCATAAAGAAAAGACCATGTGATGGGAGGGTGGGGGACATGTAGGATGGACAGGGGAGATGGAACTGGGGACAGACTTGTGGGCAACACCATTTCCCAGGGGTCAAGGATAGTCCTCCTCAGTGTGGGGGTTAAATAAAGCTGTTTCTTTCTTGGAAGGCTTTGAACAGCTACCAGAAATTGTGTGAGTGAGTGCATGTTTCTATGAATGGGAACCATGTAAAAAAAAATTTGTCAAAAAATAATTTATTTGGATAAATTCAAAATAGTTTTGAATTTATTAAAAACAACTAAGAACTGGATGACTTTAAGTAACCAAAACATTGACTCAAGTCTTTATAAAACCTTTTTTTTCCCAAGAGTTGGTTTCTATTATCCTCAAACCTTCTTAGTGTCTGGTCCGATTTCCAAATTTAACTGGAAAGCAATCGATCCCCTTTGTAAACTTATTTGCAGCTGAGTTTCTGTACTCTTATTTGTCAGAGAAGGATTAACTCTTGCTCCAACTGAAGGTGCATCTGATTCTTCTGCCAGGCTCTCTTATCCACTCAGCAAATGTTTATTGAATGTCTGCTGTGTCTGGCACCATACAGGGCCACCTACTAGCAACTTAAATGAAGGTTTTGCTCTCTCAGAGCTTAGGACAGGGGACAAAGGAGCAATGAATTAAGTAAAACCAAAAAGCAGCATTGAGGTTTATAACATCATCTACATTTGCTTACTACTTTAGTGTTTTCAGTGCACACACTTTAATTTGCTCTTCAAAGCACACTCTGATAGAAGAGAGATACTCTGGTCACATTTTATAGATAAGGAAACAGAGATGGAGGCAAATCATTTGCCAGAGGCTACTCAAGTAGGACTAAGAAGGACCATGCCCCACTCCATAAATAAATTCAACACCCTCCTCCTTTTCGGGGTTCCTAAATATGCTCCACTTCCTTATGCTTTATAACAGTAACTACGTTGACTATTTACCTTCCTCTCTCTTCCTTCTTTCTGTTTTCCAACTAAAACATTTTTCTATAGAATCTTAGAAGAAAAATACGCAACAGTGCTTTAAATTGTCTTATCACAGAGGCCATCAGCCCAGCACCATCCAATTTCGGTCCAACAGATGTTCACAGAGATTACTGGGGGCCACGTAAACTCACCTCCACACATCACTTAGGAAATCGGCAAGCTTCCCCAGAAAGGAACACTCTTCCCTGCTTCTGTGGCAAGAAGTTCCCATTCGAGATGCGTTCTTAAGTTGTGCTTACACAAGTTAGGGGTGACTGGAAGATAAAGTGCATCCCCATTACTGACTAAAGAAATACTTAATACCGCAAGTCCAGATCAAGAGAAATCCTCTCCTAACGTGGTTAAAGCTCCCAAAGCAGAGGCAGAAGTTGAGCAGTGGGAAAAGAGAATACAGAACATAGAAAGAAAAAGGGCATTTAGCAATTTCAATTTTTTTGTCTATTTGTTGAACAAAATAGCTTGCAATACTTTGTGAAACTGCTCCTCATTGCTTTTTGTCATGCAAGTTAACATCAATAGTGTCTCTTGGCCAGTCTGGGTATAAATGCAAAACTGTGTGCAATTCTGTGTTAGTGGAATCAGTGTGCAAGGGAACTCATTTCCTTTACCTGTGAAGAACCTTTGTGGATTGGGTGGGGGGTGCTATAAATACGTTTTGTTTTGGAACAATGCAACACAGTGAAAATGTCTAAGCAAGCCTCTTGTGGAATATATTCTTATGCTATAAAATTTACATTGATTACTTAGATATTTACTATCTCTTAGTTTGCATCCTTGTTTTTAAATTATTATTATTATTATTTAATGTGAAGAAACAACCAGATGACAAGACTGGGAAAAAAACTGGCACACATTCTCATGAGTCCTCGGCTTTTGTTGAACATATCTCTGCTTGAGGCCTCCAGTAGGTTTCCAGGAAGCATGATAGGTACACTGAGAAAAGGGTGGCCTCAGAGACATGCAGGGCTAGTGTGAATCTCTGGCTTGCATTTCCTCACCTTAGGAAAATTACTCATCTTTGGTTAGTCTTGGTTCCTTCTATAAAACGGGAATCATACTGTTTGCCTACCTGTGTTTTTGTGATATTTAAATGAGAGGTGCACAGTGTCCCCAATTCATTCCCTCTCAAAGGCAGGTTGAGAGAGGAGGGCTACTCTATTTAAACACATGTGAGAAAGGAGCACACACACAGCAAAGAAATTATAGCATAAAATATAATGACATAACTAAAAAACCAAACATCTGCCAGAGCTGTAAAAGTGAATGGGTAAAATTCATCTCTTCAAAAAAAAGACTATAAGATTGAATCACAAAGTATTACTTAAAACTTCACTGTATGTTGTTTTCAAAAGACAACAGAATGAAAGTGATTTAATGAAGCTAAAAATAAAAGAATGGGTGATATTATACCAGGCAAATACAAACAAAAAGAAAACAGGGATCAGAGACTTAGTGCCAGGCAATGCTGAAATCAAGGCAACAATGTTAGGTGAAAAAAGGAAGGCGATCTATAATGATAAAGGGGGGGGGGATCCACAATGGAGATCTAATTATGACAGTTATGCTCCAAAGCACAGAGCATTAATACTGATAAAAGACCTATACGAAATACAAAGAGACATGGACAATGCTGAGAAGAGATTTTAATTCCTTCCTCTTGGTTCATGAAAGAGATAGTGGGGGACAATAAATAAGGCCAAGAAGTATATAAGCCATACAAATAATGAGAGTTTGGTAATATATATATATGTATGTATGTATGTATGTGTGTGTGTGTGTGTGTGTGTGTGTGTGTGTGTATTGTCCTTTTTCCCCAAATGACCTTGGAGGAGCATTCACAAAGTTGATTACAATAAAATCCTTAATAAATAAAAAAAATTATAAAACAGTATGGGCAACAAATAATTTATTATTTATCTTATTTAATTAAGATAGAATTCGAAAATACAAAAGTAGGTGAACCAAAATCCTACTCCCTGAAAATATGAAAAGTCTTTCTTAAATAATTCCAGGGTCAAAGTGAAAATTAATACTGAATGACACATCAGACATAAGATATTGCATGTCATAAAATGCCATAGAAAGGTCAGATGGTGGTATGTGTGTGCGCTCACATGTACATGTACTGTATAAACAACAGCCTCTTCTCTTGTTTGATCTCTTCTGAGAAGACCCAGGGTAACTCAGTAACTGTGTTCAGGAATATCCAGGTTTAATGTGAAAAGGATGCTGATTCATTTCTCCTTTATCTAAAAAACCTCAATAGTGCTTTAAATTAGCTATGTCATTATTGTCATGGAAGGAGGAAGGTTTGTATACTCATTAACAAGGGAGTATTTTCAGTTAAGTTCATTTATCAGGAGGAAACTGAAACCTAGAGATAATCTAATGTGTCTCATGTCACCCAATTTACTCAATTTGGGGGCCTAACAGCTGCTCTCTGTGCACTGGGCTGTCCACTTTCTTCTCTTCCTTAGCCCAGTTTGTTCAGGAGAACTGGTCTACCTCAACAAACATCATGGAGCAGAAACATAAAATGCCCTTAAAGCAGTGAGCCAAAAGAATGAGCTTTGAGCAAGGAAATCTTAGCCTGAGACATGTCCTTCAATGGGAGCATTTTTCTGATTCATGTTTGTTTTTCACAGACTCCCCTATCAACTCTTGGCATAGCATTGAAATTCCACAACTACTCGATAGCCAAGAAGAGTGTGAAAGGCTGTGAACATGGATGGTGGGAAATTAATGAGCACATGTAAGTGGTTTCTGTACGTGAGGGATCTGATGAAAGGCCTTGCCCAGAGGTTCAAAGCCCTGGATTCCTTGTTGCATTTTACTATTTACAGATAGGGAAACTGAGGGATTCGTTAAATAACTGGCTCAAGGTAACTTAACTCACGTGTAATTAAGCTGGAATTCAAACCCATGTCTCATGGCTCCCAAAACGTTGCTGCACAACTGCTCTGTACTGTTGGGTTCTGGACGCGCACACTCTACAGTTTACAGAAATGGTTTAGCAGATAAAAGTCTTTTAAACCATGAAACCCTGGAGGAAAATAGTAACTAGCAGTCCTGATGGTACAAAAGTTAGAAACCATTAGCCAGTCTGTGTAGTAGGAGAGGCTGCATTGGCCCTGGGGGATCCTCAGGCTGGGACATGGGTGAGGCTGATCAGAAAGAGGCTCGGAGAAATCTAGGTGCCTGGGCTTCCTGAACCAGACTAGTACTCCTCAAACTCACCCTTAATTTTCCTCTAGTTCTTGTTATTGTTTATTTGCTTCTGAAGTTATAATAAGTCTTAGATTAAGAAATACAGGATACCCTGTTTTTGCAGTAGAATAGCTTCTAAATTTACTTTGAGATAAGAATCTTTGTGAGGTTAGCCTAAGGGATTTACCTGCTGAATCACTGCTCATTATTAGTCCATGAATGAAACCTTCCCTCTCTAAATGGTTTTCCTCAACAACCTTCTTTGATTTCCTTCAAGCTCTTGGTTACTTACTAAGTAGTTATTGGTCCTGTGCTCATTGGAATAAAGCCTATCTGATTCAAAGGCATTCTTGGATCAATTACTAAGACGTGACTTGTATTCCTTTGGGGAGTATTCTTGAATAAAGGGTCTATTATGTAGGAGGCAGAAAACCTGGTTTCCAATTCTAGCCTTGTTGTTTAGTATCTACATTAACTAGGACAAATTTTGATATTCAGCTTGTAAAATGAGATAATCTCTACTTACTAAAGTGGTTTTTTGATAAACATTAGGTGAAATAATGCATACTACACACCAAAAAATATTAGCTATTATTATGATTAATAACACTGCTTTGGAAACGGTATTGGATGGAAAAACACTATAGAATGTGCCCCAAAGCTTTAGGAATGCTATGTTTAGGTATGTAATTAGAGGTCCAGAAAACAAATTGTTACAATTTTTTTGTAGATATGTATGACTGAGATAAAGCTATGCATTGAAAATGAATACTATTTTTTTCCCTACTAAATAACAATCCCTACCAGCCATGATGTATTCCTGCTAAAGTATGAGCAGCATCTTCTCCCAGGCAGTACCAGGAACGCTCTTTGCCCTAAATACTTTCCCTGAAGGAACAGCTCCTCACTTTGTCTTGTGGGTTGGCTGAAATCCTATCAGATTCTTTTGATGCTAGTTGCACCCTTGGAATTTAAAATGCCAGCCCTTGCCATTATCCACCCTCTTCATCTAAGGAAGAAACACTCTTAATTGAACTGACTTCTAACACCTTGCCTCCAGGTGTTGGGACTGTAAGGTGACACTGACATGAGGAAGCATAGTGATCGTGAATTCAGAGAACACGGGGGTGGGGTGTGTATAAGGGCAGCCAGAATGCTGTATATGAACCCCGAATAAATGGATGGCTCTCCTAAAAGCTTTTTCAAAGCAAAGCTCCTAAGGGGAATGCCATTGGTGTGTTAAAAAGTACTAGGGCTTAGTAGCAAGTGGACTTGTGTCCTAATTCTACTTCAATTTTCTTGATATTACAACTTCAACAAATTACTTCACCTTTTTTTACCTCTGTTTTCTTACTGTGCTGGGTCTGCACATGTAAACTAACACCTGCTGGGGTTCTCCCATCTCTCACTTCCCTTTTACTGTTGCTCCCTTAGCCACCACCATGTCCCATTACATACCGTTACCCTGTAAACTCCAGTCCAAACATGGCTTCCAAGATCCCTTTCCTCTTGACCCCTTAACATCTGAGTGAGGCTCATCTTTGCAAGAAAACTCCAGTAACTGTTCATGGAGTGCACAAATACAATGACTGTGAGACCCAGATAACAATCACCATGTTTTTAGAACACAGGATTCTGATCCCAAAATGACAGGTTAGACTCTGGCCCTGAAAGACTGGTGCCGATTCCAGGTGCCTCTCACCCCCTGGCTCCCACTTGGCCACCTGCAGCCGCTACCTCTTCCTTGTAATCCAGGATCTTGATCTGGTTTGTCAGCGCATCAGGTCCTGAACTTCAGCCAGTTGCAAAAGATTCTTCCTGAAATGTATATGAACGTTTCCCTCCTTGGAACCTTAAAAACATGGGTTGTCTTTGTGCTCCTTGCAACAAATGCCAGTGTCTGATTCCCCAGAACTTGTGTGGTTCTCAAATGTTTTGGAGGCCAGGAGTGACTGGCATTTAGGTCCCAGTGGAGGAGCTCCCCCTTCATGCCCTGTGTCTACCTTTCCCTTTGAGACCTTGCAGGTTTCACCCTGGGAAGAGCCTTGCTTGCACAGGGGCAAAGGTCTCACTTATGGGCCCTCAGTGCAACAAGTCTTCACCTTTCACTAATCACAGTGCTCATCCATAAGAATTACTAACAGGAGGGACATTTTTTTTCTTAGATAATAAGAGGTAAGAAAAATCGAAGTAGGGAAATACAGTAAATAGACATTACCACTTGAAATTTTGCCAAGGATGAGCCCTGAAGGGCACATCATTTGCCAATTTAGTTTGAAATATTGTCTTTAACTCTAAGTATTGCTGGGATTCTTGGTATATTTCAACCTGAGCTCATGGATTCCACTCTGTTCTGTAGAAAAGTTTGTTGGCCAAAGCAAGTAATTCTTGCTGTTACACTTATTTATGCCAACAAGGGCAAGGAGTAAGCAAATTAAACCCATGTTTCTTCTGATTACAAGTGTAAGTGAGAAAAGCAATGGGGAACAGATAGTTGCTAATACTGCTATTATTTTATTTAGCAGAGGAGAAAATCAAGGTGGCAGAAGTTTCGGTCACAGGCCCTTGCACAGAATGGATAGCTACCCTTAGCTCTGCCATGAGCATCTCTACTTGTAAAGCCCCAGTGACCACAGTACTAGTAAATTCACCATCAGTACGAACACAGTTGACAGACCCTTATGCCGTGTACCCTCTGACTCTTGTCTCCTCAGGTATTGTGGCTCCTATGTGGATCACCAGACCATTTTCCGAGTGCCCAGCCATCTTGTTCACATTCAGCTTCAGTGCAGCTCAAAGCTTTCAGACAAGCCACTCTTGGTGGAATATGGCAGTTACAACATCAGTCAACGTAAGCCGAGGAGCAGCTCCTTAGAAAACCTTAAATGGTTAAATGGAGGCTAACACTATCTAACTTGAAACTTTGAGAATTCAAGGAATGAAAACTACTTTATTCTGCTGTTTATGATCCTATTTTTACAGTAATATAAAAAGAAATATATTATACATATTTATATGTGTGTTTGTTACAATTGAAAAGTAGTTTCTTATATTATTCCTGAAATATAGGGCAAGCCCATTTCTGGCTTTGCTGTTCTTCTTGCTAGAGATAAGTCTCTGCAAATATGATGTTTACACCAACATTTGGTGGATTTGAGGGCATCAGTTGTGACTCACTTTGGATTATGATGCATAGGAAGAACTGGTTCATCAAGGAGAATTCAAATAGCAGCCCTTAGCATGTTGAAGTTTACACTAAAAACCCCTGGTACAGGGGCCAAGAAGTGGTCAATAGCAAAAGCAATGTTTGAGGGAAGTAATTAAAGCTGAAAAGAGTAGCTACCGATTCAGGGCATTCTCAAAGCATTTTAAAAGAAAAAGTAAGGGTTAACCACTTAGGAGTCTCTGAGGATAAGACTTGAGAGAAACCTCCTTTGACCCTCCTTCTTTGCCAATCCTCAACATACCTGTTTCTGGATTCAGAATATTACACTTCTGAATATCAGAATATTACACTTTCCAGCAAGAATGTAAATAGATAGCAATCCATCTTGTTTTTAATTGTTTCTTTCTGGCCATGATTATTTTCTAGGGATTCACCCTCTCCATGTGTGCCATTGAAAGAGTGGTTGACCTGACCACACACTTTCCCCCATTCTTTTGCACAAGGGGAGTGTCATAGCCCATTCAGACTACTGTAACAAAATAATACAGACTGAGGAGCTTATAAAGAACAGAAATTTATTTATGACAGTTCTGGAGGCTGGAAGTCTGAGATCAGGGTGCCTGCATGGCTAGGTGAGGGCTCCTTTGGGGTCTCAGACTTCTCATATCCTCACGGGGTGAATGGGGCGAGGGAGCTCTCTTGGCATTGATCTTATTCATTAGGGTTCTGCCTTCATCACTTAGCCACCTCCCAAAGGCCCCACACCCTAATAGCATCACACTGGGCATTAGGATTTCAACACATGAATTTGGCTCATCACTTGTGTCATATGTTGAACATTCAACATATGAATTTTGGGGGATGCAAATATTCAGTCTACAGCAGTGAGGAAAGATTTGTTATTTTTATTATATTTAGCTATAAGCTCAGGATTAGTGATTCAGAATCAGGCAGGGAGTGGATCTTTGACAAATAGCCTCGTTGAAGAGGACTAGGAAGTAGGAGGCAGAAGTTCTGAATTTTGAGGTCAGTTCAAGTTTCTAACACCAATGATTAGTAACATATTTTGAGTGACACGGATCACTTGAAAATATAGTGAAAGGTACAGACACCTCAGAATAATGCATCGATCCTAGAGGATCCAAAGGCAGTGAAAGGCCATTTAAAATTTCCTGGGGAGTCTATGGCCTGCGCACTAAGAATGCTGGACTAAGGTAGATTCCAGCTTTCACTTTCTTCAAGTTTGTGACAAAGCCAGATTGCTGAGTCAAGGGTGGAGGTAGCAGAAGTCAAACTGTATGTGTGACATGGGTGCACAAATGATTCAGAAGTTCTAGTAAATTTGTTTGCTTTCCTTGCTCCCTTTTTCATGGTACACCAATAGTCTATCACCTGTAGCCTTGATCTGATGAAGAAATTGTATAATTACTGCTGCTACATTGCCAACTGATGACTTAACACTGCATATTTCTTAGTTAATGTGGTCTGATAATTTTCGGGGACCCCACAAGATTCCCTTTTGTTTATTGTCTTTAGCCTGTCCTGTTGGATCTTTTAGATGCTCCTCGGGTTTGTGTATCCCTCAGGCCCAGCGATGTGATGGAGTAAATGACTGCTTTGATGAAAGTGATGAACTTTTCTGTGGTAGGTATTCAGGTTTTATTTTCTTATGAATAAATAACTTGTCAGAGCCCTTGCTACTCCTAGGTCTTTGTAGCCATTATCTATTGCTGCATAACAAAACTTCCTCCAAACTCAGTGGCTTATAGCAATCACCTACTCTGGATCATGCCTCTGTGGGTTGTCTGAGATACGACTGATCTAGCTGGGCTCAGATGGAGGCTCTACTTTAATAGGTGGGTCCTTCTGGGCTTGGTTCTTCCCAGGTTGGGGTCAGACCTAATCCTTGTCACTCTTTTCCTCATTGAGCTAGTGGGCTACCACAGCAGAGATAGATGGAAAGGAGGGGTAAGCAAAACACATGGTTCCTCTATGTGAACCTGGGCTTGCAACTATCAGTCATAGCTAATCATTCACTGAGGCCGTAATCAAGGAGCAGGGAAATTTATTCTGCACACTATGGAGCCATGGAAAGCATGGGGGTGCATAATACTACTATAGGGAGTGAGGACCTGTGGCTAGTTAACTCATTGAACCATAATGTTAAACATGACAACCCTATTTTAAAGCACAGATCTTTCATCTACACAGAAGCCCAGAATCTGTAGAGAAGAAAACTCTTGCAGCATGCTCCTTTACGGAGCACAGTTGTTACTAATGAAAGAATTATTTTTTTAACCTGTACCATTTGCGTTGACAGCACATTGGTAATGACTAAGAGGTGGGGGTATTAAATATTTCTGTTTTGAGCAGAGAATCTCTGTCATGGTTTTTCATTGCTATTAGTACATCTTCCTGAATTTATGTCCAGTTTCAGGGAACAATAGGAAAATATTTTCCTTGAAATAAAATCTCACAATACATTAAATTGTAATTAAATAAGCAAACCTCCAGAGTTTAACACATTTTTGCAAAAGCAAAAAGTCAGGCCTGACAAACTCAAAGTGCTAGGAAGTACACCAATGGTTTAAACATCGGCTTTCCTCATGGGAGGTGTCAGTTTTGAGGAAAACACACTTTTCATCTTATTTAAGTCATCTTAGCCATTGTACTTTTAGGGGGCAGTGCTGGTCATCTCAGGTTCGTGAGCTTTCTGTTCTCATTCTAGTGACTCTTAAACCTACCTGCAATGCGAGCTCCTTCAGGCAGCACGACCCTCTGGTGTGTGATGGCTTCAGGGACTGTGAGGATGGCCAGGACGAGCAGAACTGCACACAGAGTAAGGAAGGCTCCTCTGCACCCAGCTCTTCTAAATCAGAATCAAAGTATCTCTGTTGGGTTAGGACAAATGACTTGTGCCAGTTTTCCCAGGACTTACCAGTTTGAGGACTAGAAACCCTCTGGAGTGTGTGTGTGTGTGAATAAGGAAAATTGCTTACTTTCTTTCAATTCTCTCAAGACTAAAGCGTACCAAGGACCTGATAGAGAGGGACTTGCCAGATACTGTGACATTATACACTCCATTCTAGCCCCTGCAGATCCACACACTGCCCAAGTTGCGAACAAATGTGCTGTAATTCACAAATCTGTCCATTTTTTCCCCCAGGAGTATAAAATATCTGAGTATAGTGTTGATAGTTGCTCAATACTTTTCTTGGAGAAAAAGTCAAAGTAATAACAAAGAGGCCCTCGCCTAAAGCCCTGATATGGCCAAGTGCTTTTCATGTCACATACACTGAAAGAAAGGAGAAGCCATTGGATGGAGCAGGTGCACCTGCCTGCTGGCTGGTGGCTTCATGACTTTACTGGGGGGTTGCTTCATCTCCCTCTCCATGCTTCCGGGGCAGCAAATCCCATTCAGAGGCTAAGCCCTTTTTTGCTAACGGACTTCAGGGTAATTCAGGCAAATTTGTTTCTGTGTAGGCAGATCTCTTTATTCTCTTGTTCATTTTTAGGCATTCCATGCAACAACAGAACTTTTAAGTGTGGCAATGATATTTGCTTTAGGAAACAAAGTGCAAAATGTGATGGCGCTGTGGATTGTCCCGATGGAAGCGATGAGGCAGGCTGCAGTGAGTAGGATTACCTTCCATCCCATGCCTTGTATTCCCTCCTCAGGTTACCTACTTTTCATTTTCATCCCCTTCTGGGTACAGTCTCCCAGCAGAAGTTGCCACAGACCCAGGGAGGAACAGTAAACATTGGTAAACTGAATCTGAGATGGTTTCTCAAAATTAAAACTCTAGAGTGCATTCTGTCATCTTTATTAATAACATTCATGGGCTAGTTTATTCATTTATTTATTTTCACCTTTTCTTTCTATTTTTATTGAACTATCATTGATATGCACTCTTATATTGGTCTCAAGTATACAATGCAGTGGTTCAACAGTTACCCTTATTATTAAATTCTCACCCTCACTGGTGTAGTTATGACCTATGAACACAGGAAAATGTTACAGAATCACTGACTATATTCTCCATGCTGTACTACTATCCCTGTGTCCCTGTGATGGACTTATATGATGTTTGAGAATTTTTATGCCTTTTTTATTCCCCTCCCCCAACCCCTCCCTCATGGTAACCACTAGTCACTGCTTAGTATCTATGAGGCAGTCTGCTGCTATTTTGTTCATTTTCTTTTGTTTTGTTTTTATATTCCACAGATAAGTGAAATCATATGGTATTTGTCTTTCTCCACCTGGCTATTTCACTGAGCATAATACCCTCTAGGTCCATCCATGTTGTTGCAAATGGCAGGGTTTCTTTTTTTTATAGTGAATAATAGTCCATTGTGTATATGTATTACATCTTCTTTATCCATTCATCTATTGATGGACACTTTGGTTCCTTCCATATCTTGGCTATTGTAACTAATGCATGTGCTAGTATTTATAACGAAAAATTTCATTTTCTAATAATACTAATCAAGAGATAAAATCATAAATAAAGAACCCATGAGAAAAAAAATAGATATTGGAACACAGTAGATGTCTTTGTCCATTATGCTGTATGTTGTGATCAATATCAAGTACTAGTTGTTTCTGTAGCTATGCCTGAGTACAGTAATCTACCATTCATTATTAATAAAGTGATCTCCAGTCGGCCATGTGGCTACATGGTAATTATGATCCTTATCAACACTTTGGTTTACACTGGAAAATAATTGCTCTGATAGCTAGTTTTTTTTATAAATGGGTCTTCATTTGTCTTGGGCTTACAAGTTCCCTCCCAAATGCTTTCTCTCACACCAGCACAACTTCAAAAACGGTCTCAATTCTGTTGCATTTGGTACTAATCTTTTCCGCCCTACCTAATAACCTAAACCCCACAGCTGCTGTTCCCATTGGCAGCTGTTACTAGCAGGACCCCTCCTTCCCTCTCGTGTGTTACTGTATGGAGACTCCGGCATGTCTGTTTGCAGGAGGGAGGGAGCGGTTGGCTGGCGCTGGTATCAGACAGACCCTCATACTGCCTCTTCTCTAGACAAGCAGGAGCTCTCAGATTGCTTACCTGGTTAGCCAGTTCCCAGCCCAGCTCTGAGGCTGACCTGAGGTCCGGTTTTTCTAACAAGTCTGCTTTTAAATCACGCGGCCTTTCCTCTCCTGAAGGCTGCGGCGGGAGTTGGCCCGCCCTCCTCCGCGTCACCGGGGGCGCTGACACCCAGGAAGGCGCTTGGCCGTGGCAAGTCAGCCTCCATTTTCTCGGGTCTGCCTACTGCGGGGCTTCAGTCATCTCCAGGGAGTGGCTTCTTTCTGCGGCCCACTGCTTCCACGGAAACAGGTAGGGCCCCTCGGTTCTTACCCTCAAGTTCACACCCCCTGTCTACAGGTCGTATTTCGGCCCCCAAGCTGTGGGCAGTGAGAGCTCTCTGTTGGAGACATTCAGTTGGCGGGGGTTTTTTTTTTTTTTGGACACCAGTTGTGTGCCAAACATTCTTTATATGTATTATTGATATAAAGAAAACAAGAACACAAAGGAACATCAACAATGAATGGGCTTCTATGAGGCTGAGAAAATAGGATAGGGCTTTCAAGCCAAGGGAATCCTATAGGAATGTGTAGAGAATGTGGATTATAAGGATTGGCAGATGGCTGGAACTTGGGGATCCCTCTTTAGAGTGGGAGGAAATTGCACCCAATTTTCAATGTGGTGGGTTGGAGGGTTCCTACACTACCAAGCAATTCTCTGATACCAACTGGCTGCCCTACAGTTCAACTCAATTTTTATCTCCCTAGAAATAGTGTCACACTGAACACTTTAAGGACCAGTCTTACACTATTGTCCACCCCCACTTCAGAGACCAATTGGAAGTCTAGGTTGTCACCTGTGCTTCTGACTCACTAGCTATAGATCGGAGGTTCCCATGATCTCCTCCTTGGGTTCAGTGAATTTGCTAGAGTGGCTCACAGAACTCAAGATACACATTTTACTTATGAGATCACCAGTTTATTATAAAAGGGTATAACTTAGGAACAGCCAGATAGAAGAGATGCATAGAGCGCAGTATGGGGAAGGTCATAGAGTTTCCATGTTCTCTCCAATGGCACCACTCTCTCCAAATCTCTGCATGTTTACTGACCTGTGAGCTTTCTGAAGCCTGTCTTTTTGGTTTTTTAATGGAGGCTTCCTTACACAGACGTGTTGACTAATGTGGTGGGTTGAAGGGTTCCTACATCACCAAGCAATCACTGGCTATTGGCAATGGAGTCAACCTTCAGCCCCTCTCCCCTCCCAGAGGTCGGTGGTGGGACTGAAAGTCCCAGTCCTCCAGTCACTCGGTGGGCTCTCCTGGTAACCAGGCGGCATCCTTAGGAGCTTTCCAGAAGTCACCTAGTTAACACAGCACAAGACACCTTTGTTGCTCTCTTCCCTCCTCTTCGAAAGGCTTTGGGAGTCCTGTGCCAGAAACGGGGAGGAAGACCAAATACATGTTTCTTACTATTAGGCACAACATCACAGAGGGGAGTCCTGGGAAGGTCCATTAGGGTTGGTGTTGGAGGGGCTCTATCTGCCTTTACCAGTGAGATTATTTGGGGCAGACACTCTTGCAGTTAGAGGTGAAAGGAAAGCTTAGAAAATAACTTCACTTAAAATATAATCTTATTCGGAGTCTCCTGGATCTTAGGAACAAAAACATACCATTCACTTCTCATTTTGAAATATTTAAGTGTAATACTTCAACAAATTCATACAATTGAAGTATTTGCTTCTCCTGAAAACTACAGGATTCATGTTAATGATTCAAATGGTTATGCTTGTGTGACCATTAGTCTTTATGCTATGAAACTGGTCCTATGCTATGTTAAGTTTAGTACCCCCCCCACCCCACTACAGGTCCCCAGTGCCACCCTTGAGATGTCAGCTAAGCTATGGGCCACATTCTTTGGTCTTTGTCCTTATTTTTCTTCCAAAGCTTCCACATTCTCTTCATCCCATCAGAGCAAGGCTACTGTGCCCATGGACATAGAAACCTCACATGCAGACTGTAAGACCCTAGGTGACTGTGCAGGGCCACAGGGGTCAGGATTAGAATGCCAGAAGGGCTAACAGGGAGTGGGCCCTTGTAGATGGTCATACCTGGGCCATTAGAGCAGTGATCTTTAAGGCCTCTGGTAGTCTGCAAGAAGGTTGCATTCCTTCATTACATTCCTGCTTATAATACTCTGACTTCTCACCTATCTTGGTATCATAAAATTTGTATTTGGCAAAAGGATTGGCAGACCACTGCCTCAGCAGCCCTGCCTTTCTCCATAGAAGGCATTGTCAGCATGCATAGGGAGAATGTGACAGGTTAATTCCAATCACCGACATCTTGATCTGTGTGTAGTACATGAAATACTAGTGGCAAGAAAATTTCCAACTTTCTTAGGATGTTGTTGAGGAAGTTTCCTGGAACATAGTTATCATTCACTGTCCTCCCTCCCCACTACACCTTACTTCATCTGTGGAGGCTCAGAGAAGCCTCCCTTGCCATGTCTGAGAACACAGCCAGTGACTAAGATAGGGGCCAAAAGTTAGGCCTCCTATTTCTCAGCCTCATCTCTCTGCAGAGTGCATATCTGACCCAAGTATGATTTTTCAAGCCACTGACTTCATGCTTCATTGCTTTTCTACCAGGCTATCAGACCCCACACCATGGACTGCTCACCTTGGGATGTATGTGCAGGGGAACGCCAAGTTCACCTCCCCGGTGAAAAGAATTGTGGTCCATGAGTACTACAACAGTCAGACCTTTGACTATGATATTGCCTTACTACAGCTCAGTGTCGCCTGGCCTGACACTCTGAAACAGCTCATTCAGCCAATATGCATTCCTCCTGCCGGCCAGAAAGTGCACAGTGGGGAGAGGTGCTGGGTGACCGGCTGGGGGCGCAGGCATGAAGCAGGTGTGTGCATGAGTGGGTGGTCATGCCCTTCCCCTTCACAGGGTAATAATGTGTGTTGATGTACTGCTTCGTGGTTCATAGACAGGATTTTTGTGAATGGCTTCATTTGAGTCTCCTGACAACTCTGAGAAGTAGAATAGAAGAAGATATTATTATTACTGTTTTATGATGTTCTCCTCTTAACCCCAAAGAAGCAGGACCCACCTCCTAAGGTGGGGTCTATAAAAAAGACAGGATTGGATAGCTAGCATGTGCCCTTTGCAAACTCTGAGCAGCTTGCTAGGTTTTCCAGTATAGAAAGTAATTCCTCCTTATTTTTAGGTTCCCTTTCTTTCTTTCTTTTAACAATTTTTTTATCAAGGTATCATTGATACACATTCTTATGAAGGTTTCACATAAAAACAATGTGATTATTACATTCACCCATATTATCGAGTCCCCCCCCATACCCCATTGCAGTCACCGTCCATCAGTGTAGTAAGATATGTTTAGGTTCCCTTTCATCCAAAGAAATGATTAATTTTCCTAAAGAAAAGAAGGATACACAGACACACACACACAGACACACACCCCATACTGTGTCAACTCAGACAACTGTCTGGAGGACTACGCGAGTATGTATGTCCTTCCCAAAGGCAGCTGGCCAAGCAGATTAGAGTGAGGGGCTGAAACCCAACCTTCCTTTAGTTCCCCTGCCCCCACACCTCACACTGCAAATTCAGGCCTGGCAGTTACATCTGCCTAGAATTGGGCAACCCAGAGAGGATGCCTTTGAGCAATTCCTTCCCCAGAGGGGGCATATTTCATATTTTTCATCATGCACAAAGGTCAGACTATTTGGGCCCAGCACGCTTCCGCTGCGCAACTCTGCTGGTTATGGTCAGACTATTTGGTAGGGAAGTCCCTATGTCTGCCCTGCCAAGGATTATCTGTGATTCATGGTTGATTCTAAGCATATAGTGAGGGAGAATCCAAAGTTTTGTGAACATCTCCCAATAGGCGAGTGTTTATGCTTTCCTGTGATCTCTCCATCATCTCAGACTCCCTTACAGTCATTTCTAAGGGTTTAAGGCAGATAAGTTTTCTGCAGATCTTGAACCTTACCCTTGGCCTCAATTTGATACTCTCTGAAGATCCATGGTGGGCAGCTTCTCAAGTCCTCACCACCTTCATCAGGTCACTGACGTCATGCTGTTCTTGGGCCTGCTGAGGTCTCAGGGCCCTGGGGAGGGAAGGCAAACTGCTCGAACACCTATTACCTCTCATGGCCACGGCCTTAATCCATCATGCTTCGCAAGAGGAAAGGGCCAACTTGACGAACTTACCATGAGACATGTTCTTTACAAGTGTGGGTGTGTGTTTATTTTTTTGAATCTGAGTCTGTCTTAGAGAGACAGGGTGAAAAGGAAGTGAAAGGGCTGCCACCAAGCTGTTATGGATTTATGGTTCCTGGGACACTCCCATGTATCAGTCACGCTGCTCCCCGAGGGGTGGGCCTCCTGACCAGTAAGTACGGCAATAGCTCTCGCTGACTCACAGTCTACCAAAGGCAGGGAGTACATGGTGAAGGAGCGTCGCACAGCTGCTCAGATGACCAAGTCAGACGTTAGGTCTGAATCCGGCTGTTACCTGCTAGTTTTGCACCATTGGGCAAGTCCTTCAACCTCCTAAGCTTCCATTTCTTCATCAGCAAAATGGGAGTCATAAAAGAATTTACCTCAAAATATTGTTATGAGGATAAAAAAATGTGAGTAAGTTGTCTAAGAAGACCCTAAGTAAGTATAATCATTATGATGATTTCTACATCCCATGTGTTTTCCAGATAATAAAGGCTCCCCAGTTTTGCAGCAAGCAGAGGTAGAGCTCTTCGACCAAACCGTCTGTGTTTCCACCTATGGAATCATCACTTCACGGATGCTCTGTGCAGGCGTCCTGTCGGGCAAGAGAGATGCTTGCAGAGTAAGTCATCTCCCCTTTCCTTTGCTTAATGTGTTGTACTTCTCACACATGTTTTCACATTTCATCTACACAACAGTGGCAAATAAAGAGGCTTGATATTTCCCTTGATTCAGGTATGAATTGTAATCCAGTTGTCTAAGATCAGGGAAAAGTGGTTAATAATTGGGTCTATAAAACTCAACTTTTTGCACCCTGTGTATTTTCCTCCAATATATAGGAAACAAGATCAGCATTTATCATTCTGCCATGATTTTCTTATAACCCAAAACTAAAGAACATAGGAACCCCCCCCCCACACACACACACACAGAGTGTTTCAGAACACTGTTTCCTTAGCAGGAAATATACCTTCTGAAATAACACAGGTTTTATCCACTGAAAGAAAGAGCAATGGGAGAGGTGACAGAGGACACCTCTCTGGGCAGGTCTCCTGAGTGACAGATTTGGAAGTCACCTTTGGGAGGACATTCCTCTGAGCCTCACATTCCAGTTTATGCAGATATCTATATGATTGCCAAGAAGGGAACAGATAACTTAGAGGATGAGGAAGGCACTGAGACCTGTTCCCCCATCTCTCTACAACCTTAGCCACAATGACACAAAAACTTGTCTTATATTAATAATGACTTCTATCTTCTGAGCCCCTGTTTTGTGGCAACAACTATACTAGGTCTTATATATAAATGCATTCAAATCAATCTTTCATCCCCATTTTACAGAATAGGAAACTGTGGTACAAAGAGGATAGGTCAATTATGCAAAGTCACACAGCTAATAAGTAAATGTCTGAGCTTGGGTTTGAACATTTATTATCTCTTTAATGCTAAAGCTACTAGCCTTGGGTGCTTCCTGTAGCTAGTCAGTTACAGAGTCCTGTTCCTGATAGCCACCAGCATTTACAGGTTAAATCAGATTTAATAGAGTTGGTGTGGCAACCAGTTTCTCTACTAGTCTGAATTTACCCAATCAAGTTTAGAATTGTGGGGGTGGGATACAGGGGCAAATTTGGGATCTTTGCCTGAGTAAATCACAGCCTTACCTGTCTCCCAAATAGAAAAATAAAATGCAGATATTATAATTTAAAGGATGAAAATTGTAGGGAGTATGTTTAAATGTTGAATTATTTGAGTGTTTGCTTGGTGGAGTACGGTGATTTGTCTGTGACAGCTGTTAGCCAGTGATCCTCAGAGTTGCTTCACTGCACCTGGCTGACTTAATAGGTCTCTTTATATTTCTTTCTTGGAACCACAAAGAGCCACTGAATTTGCATGGCCCAGGCTTCAAGGTCAACCTTTAAGAAAACCATTGCTTGTAAGGTTGTTTTCAGGAGTAAATGACCCAAAACAGTGCTTCACACATAGCTCACACTAAATGTTAGCCATTATTATTATTACGACTACTACTAATATCAAGGTTTGTTCTTTGGGGTATGTGAGAGTTGTTTCCCCTACAAAAATATTCTAATGTTACTCTTGGCCCAAAGAATCAGGTTTCTTGTGATGAGTGAAGTTTTTGATGTCAGGAGGAATAATTCTTAAAATGACATTAGAAGTTTCACATTATTTCTTGACACTTCCCCGTATACATAATAATTAGCCAAGCAAAAACTTGTCCAAATAGGAGCTTTGAATACAGTCCATTAGACACATTAATGACAAAATTGATGATCATGGAACAAAATGTACTTCATACTCACATTATCTTCTTGTGTAGGGAGATTCGGGTGGACCTTTATCTTGTCGAAGAAAAAGTGATGGAAAATGGATTTTGGCTGGCATTGTTAGCTGGGGACATGGATGTGGAAGACCAAACTTTCCTGGTGTTTACACCAGGGTGTCAAACTTTGTTCCCTGGATTCATAAATATGTGCCTTCTCTTTTGTAATAGTACAAGTTAGATTTTTTACTGCTGTTTATTCTTTAAAAAGAAATGCAGTAATTGTCAATACAATGAGACATAATACTTTTCTTCTGTAAATTTCAGATTACATACATTGATATTAAATGAAATACAGAGAAATTAGTATGAGTTTTATTCTGTGAAAAACTGCCTCAAGGATATAGCTGTATTCATTCTTAAGCATAAAAGGGTTATTGATTCAGGAATGGAAGAAATGTAATGTTATGAATTAAGACTGTTATGAGACTTTAAGTAAGATAAGAAATGGGTGAGATGCTTAGGAATTCATACTTTTGTTTATGTTCCTATTCAGAGATATTTATAAGGATTTGGCAAATCTGGTTTATTGAAATAGAAATTCCATTTAAAAAATGCATGTTTTTCAGTGTTCTAATTAAATTAAATGTACAAAAATGTCCTCTTCACAAATGCAGGTAAGCTAATTCAGTTATTGACAGAGGAATCCCTATATTGATGCTTTGCAATCTAATTTTGTCTAAAAAAATCATAGATGTCTTCAGCCATGGAACATGGTAATACTGTGTATAGCGAAACCAATCAACCAATCAAGACAACTGACAGTAATTTTCTAAAACGATAGAATGAAGCATCATAGATTGAAAACACTTACACATAGGACTTAAGGAAATTGTGGCAAGGCTGGTCAGCAGTTGAAAGACAAGGGAATTTTTGGATAATTGTTTTGAAAGTGAAAATTTTCAGAAATATCATCACCTGGCTTCTTGTTATTTTATAAAACTCCAATAACCAAGACTCTTTTCTTTTCAGGGCTTTATAATATCGACCATAATTGTAAACCTATAGTTCATGTCAACATATCATACGTATTGATTTATGTTGTCTGGATTTAGAGGGTTTCATACAATCTCAGAATAATCTCTTCTCAGTATCACCACATAGGTGAAAAGAGCAGAAAGGAGAATGATATCATTTGTTTTTCCTGGGACAAGTCAAAGGAGTAATAACAATGCTATTTTTAATGAAGATGGTTTTCACTGATAAGCTAGGTGGAGAAAGACAAGTACCAAGTGACTTCACTCATTTGTGGAGTATGAAAGCAAAACAAACCTGAAGGAACAAAATAGCAGCAGATCCACAGACTCTGAGAAGGGACTTATGGTTATCAAAGGGGAGGGGTTGGGGAAGGTAGATGGGAGGGAGGGATAAGGGGATTAAGGGGCAGTATAATTTGCAATCACAATATAGATAGGTCACAGGGAAGGCAGTACACCATGGAGAAGACAAGTAACGACTCTATAGCATCTTACTACACTGATAGACAGTGACTGCAACAGCAAGGGTGAAGATTTGATAATATGGGTGAATGTTGAAGCCACAATGTTGTTCATAAGATTGTACATCAGTGATGCAAAATAAAAAAAGTAAAAAGAAAACAAAAGAGAAAATTATTTTCACTGGACCTCAGAAAATTCTAATGTAACAGCAAAAGGCAGCATCCCCTGGAGCAGATAGAAAGACTGAAATGTGGATATGATTTCCCTGAGATTGTAAAATTTATCAGTTCACACAACAATTTTGATTTGCTAAAAGACTGTTTCCCTGAGATAAAGTATAAAATATTTTAGTGATACCTTTCTGAATAGGTCCCTGAGGCTTCAATTAACTGGTTATAGCATATGCAATTCAAAAAGCCATGTGTACCACTTAATGCACAGAGTAGGTTGAGACGAGACTTAGCTACTGAATCCACTGTATAGAAAAGCCAATTCTGCTGACAGTTCTTGAAACCTGAGTTTATTTTGCCTTGTATTGCTGTGACCTAAGTACAAGGTGAGTTGTACTTTTTGCTTTGATCATTTCTAAGGAGAAGCTTTGCTATTGAATAAAACCTTCCATAAGTTTGTGATCTCAGTTAGGGAATGGAGGAGGGCTAGAGTGATCTATTAGATTTATCACAGGAATTTTTCAAACCATGCATGCATGCTGCCACTCTAAACACTTGCTTGTGCTAATGTGAGTGTACCATGTTCCTCAGCAGTGCAAGAGTAGGGAAAAGGTTGAGAAACAACAACCTGATTTACTTGACTATGTCAGGCCAAGATGCCTTTAGAACTGGAATGATGTGGCAATATCCTCTTCATTCTTGCAAAGGTGTGAGTAGAGGTGAATCCCAAGACTGGTTTAGTCAGAAGAGTGGAATGACTTCCATAAACTAAGATAGGAGTATTTCTATGCAAAAGACGATTAGGGAGAATTTCTAAAGACTCATGCTCTCCCTCATAGTGCCTTGAAAACTGCAAAATGAAATATCACAACCCAACCAACCAAGTATATCTTAGTTGTTAGGGTGACATAATTGCTGATGTTCGGAATGGTACTGCTTACCACTGGACAATATGTGGGTAAAAACTTGTATTTTCAAGAGACACGGAACTATTTGAAGGTGATGAGATGCTTTGGTACTTTGGCGAAGGTACTTTGACAATGATACTTTATTTTTTGGTTTATATGACAACCAGTTGGGAAATTATTTACTCTTAAAGAAGATATAGATAGAAGAGCAAGTACTATGACAAGAAAAACAAAGTAGAAAATCTTATACTGGTCAGCAAGTCTGGCCAAAAGTATGTTTCAATTTCTTAATGTTATTTACATTTGACTCCTTGAACATACTAAAGCAATTGTGTCAATAATAATTTTAAGTGATATTAAAAAGAACTATTTGTGCAAGAACAGTACATTTTTATAAAGCATGTTTAAAGAACTATTTATGAAAGAACAAAACCTTTTAAAAAGCTACCCCTATAGAAATAGATTTTGAAGAAATTGAAAAAACAAATCTAGGTAGAATTTGGTTCTTCATTCACAAATCCTTAACTCTCATCAAGAATTGTATAAACTAAATTAACCTAAATTTCATTAAGAATTGTTTAACCTAAACCTGGTTCTACCTCAAGGAAGAAACACCTCTTTCTAACTACTTCTAAATCCTTAGTTTGGATTCAAACTGATGGGATGAAAAAAGTCTTCAAGTAGTGATTGGGACACTCATCTACATTCTAGGTCAGCTGTCTGGAGATTAAGAAATTTGCAGTTACCAGAAATCAGGAACAGGTTAAATGTAGGAATTTCAGGTAATACTGGGATGTGTCAGAAAGTGTTAGTGATTAAGAAAATGTGACAGAACAGGAACACAACTCAATATTGAAAGAAATACATTGAATGAAGGGTTATTGCTGGCTGCTAAGGGTTGGGGGTGGCTGGGCATTAGTTATAAAACATACTTATAATCATGGAAAGTAAGGGAATATTTACTGAGACTCTGCTACTTGTCAGGCACAGGAATAAATGCTTTACTTCAATTACTTTTAATTAATTAAATCCTCCTAACTCTACTGGGTAAGAATCATTTCACAATGAGGAAGGAAGCTCATAGACATTAAACAACTTTCCCCCAAACACCCAGATAGTAAAAGTGCTAACTCTGGCTATCTTCAATACCTATACTACCATAGGAATTCTAACTGTGTACAGGATTAGGCTTATAGGATTCTGGAAATGCATCCTTGTCTAGATTAGAGAATATGTCTATCTTGTTTCACAGTACCCAAAAGGCATTAGGAGATCTGGTTTAGACTGTGCTTATGACAGAAAGCAGTAGCTTTTTGATCCTCTGGGGGAATGAAAGAAATTTTAGGTATCAGTTCATGGAGAAATCAGGCTCAGAAGAGAGCTACAATTCATCTGTCGTGACAGAAGGAAGCTCCCATTGAGACTTGGCTCCTGTGGGAGCTGTGGGAAAGGTTTCCTGGGCCCTAGGTAAAGATGGAGGGTTAGGTTTGAGAGGTCTTGGTGCTTCTTGTTATGGTCTGAACACATGGGCCTGTCAAGCCATCATTGCTGAGAATATCATTAAAGTTAATCAACACTTAATAGGGGGCACTGTGCTGTATAAAGAGTCAATTACTGGGAATATATAGAAACAACAAAGGAGACAGACAAGAAAAAAGATTGCCACTCAATTTTGAAGTTAGCCATTCTGGCCTTCTAACTGATTTTCAGAAAGTAAAAGTCAGTGGGCTCCAGTCTCAGGTCTTTGTCCTGGAGTTCCTTCTTCATTCAGAGATCTATACATCTAATTCCCCTTCCACCTTTAACTTTTTGTTCAAATTTCAATGTTTTAAAAATTGAGGTGCAACTGGAATTTATATTGATATTATGTTAGTTTCAGGTATAAAGCATAGTGATTCAATATTTGTACAAAATGATCACTGCAATAAGTCTAGTTAACATCCATCACCATACACAGTTACAAAGTTTTTTTCCTCGTGATGAGAACTTTTAAAATCTACTCTCTTAACAACTTTCAAATATGCAGTTCAGTATTATTAACTATAGTCACCATGCTGTACATTACACCCCGAGGGCTTAGTTATTTCACCTTCTCAAGGTGTAAATTGATTGATCACCTTTCTATAATCACAATCCGCCATTTACCAACCTTCTCCACTCCAGCCTCTGCTCTACTTTTTCCCTACAGCACACGTCATCTAATATCCTAGCAATGCTATTTATTATGTTTCTTTCTCCTTGTTAAATATAAGCCTCTCAATGGCAGTGGTTTTGTTTTATTTAGCAATCTCTTCAGTCATATCTCAAGCACCCAGAAGAATGCTTAATACGTAGCAAGCACTCAATACTACTTGCTGAATTGAATTGGACTTAATATGTGACATACCACAGTTTTGATGTGTATTGGTAGCAGAAAAGACTGTGGATAACTTTTGGTGGAGGAGGAGATCAGGGAAAGTTTAATGGGAAAAATATGTTTCAGCTAGGATTTAAGGTGAACGGAAGTTTTCCTGAGGTAAGTGGCCTGGGCTGGGAGGAAAAACATTCCAAACAGAGGAAGTGTATATGCAAAGCAGTAGGCGTGGCAACAAAATGGACAGGTAAGGGCCAGCCCAGAAGGGGTATCCGGTCAGACCAGAGGGGCTTCCTGACTACTGAATGTCGGAGAAGGAGGACTAGATGTCAGTTGTGGGAAAGGCAGACGTGCAGGTTCCGCTGATCTTCATCCCAGATTCATCCTCTGCTCCATGAGCTGCATCCAGCCGCATGAGCTGACCCCCAGGTTCCACCACCAATTCCCAAAGGGAGTCACTGGACGGACATTGGTAGGTGGAGTGGTCCAAGTATTTTATTCCCCTCTGCTTCCTCCCTTCTGGGCTGTAGTCCTGGCAGTGACTGCAACTTTTTGTGACTATAGATCCTGTCAGGAGGACCCTCCTCCTTGCCTCCAGTTCTTAATCAGGCTCCCATCCCTTTTAGCCTCAGGATGCTGATGGCTGTCTACTGTTGCTAATCCTTGGGTGCCTCAGCAGTCCTTCTTAGTTCCCTTAACACTGTTCCTTCATCACAAAGCCTCTTCCAAAATCCCAGCTCAGACTACAGCCTAATTCCTGCAGGATCTGCCTGTTAGAGCACAGAAAACAGAAGTCAGTCTAGACCAGCAGCTGAGCACCCACCTTAGCATGACCCCATCCAGCAGGCAGATGGAATGCAAAGTCCAGGTGATCTGGTAGCAGGCAAGAGACAGCCAGAACTCCGATATCTAAGCAGTGTCTGAACAGTAGACACTGAAGGTGCCAGATTTTTGGACTCAAGTCAACATCTTCTGCAGTGGAGCTTGTATGTATCTTGTCTACACCTCAAACTGGTCTCAATATGTGTGTTGGGGGCAGGGCTGAGAAGTAGAAGGGAAAGCCTGCTCTGAACAGAAGCTGGATACGATCAACACACATGTGCTCAACAAACATAATTCCAGGCTCATGAAACCGGAAGTTCTAAACTATGGATTGTGTGTTGTACTGTTTCCTCAGGTTTGTTTTTTTTTTGTCTGTGTGTGTGTGTGTGTGTGTGTGCCTCTTCCTCCCAAAGGTGGATAATAAGAGCTTGACTATGTATGTTTGCTATGTGTCAGTCACTGTTCTGAGTGATTTAGTGACATCAATTCTTTTAATGTTGGCAACACAAGTCCATTAGGGTACTAACCTATGCCAACTTTCCAGATAAGCAAACTGGCACAGAGAGATGAAGCCCAGGGTTTCACAGTTAGCAACCCTGTGACTGGGGATTAACCTGGGCAGCCTGGTTCCAGAGCCTCCTGCCGCAGTTCACCACGCCATACTCTTTGCCTGACTCGAGTTGTAAGAGGAAAAATTGTGTTTCTGTGTATTAAGCTTCATATGCTCCAAACTTTGCACGGGGTTACCCTGCAGGAGATGTTTCAGGGCTATTTGCTAATTAAAGGAAGGAACTATTAGGCAGCGAGAGTTGGGGCAAGCCTTGGCCACAGACAGCTCCCCAGGTGTAATGTCAACTTTCTCCCGTGCTCCGCACTGGCGCTGCAGGGCTCGTCCACTCACAGTCAGTCACCCAACCTGGACCTCGGCTCAGCTTCTGCTTTGTACCTGCGCGAACAGGGAAAGGCAGAGCAGGCAGCGCTCTGAACAAACCAGAAAAACAGCCTTCCTCCGCTCTGCTCGGGACGGGAGCCCACGGCAGGGCACGGCGGCGCCACCGGCAGGAGCTGGGGGAAGCTCCCCACCCTGGTGCCGCCCGCCGCCCGCCTCCTCCTCATGCCCCCCGGGGTGGAGTGTGAGCCGCCCGGGAGGTCACTTTGGACTCTGCACCCTCGGCTGTGCGCGCGTGCTGCGCAGCCCTCCGCTGCCCGTCCATGGCAGGCGCCAGGTCCCCATCGCCAGCTGAAGAGCTGGAGCTTTCTGTGCTCAAGGGGCGGCAGGACGAGCAGACGCCTCTCAATGGAGCCGTCCAGCTCCTCCCTGCTCCGGCCGAGGAGCCCTGCCCAGCCCAGGTGAGGTCTCTCGGCACCGGCGCCGGCGGTATCCGGGCGCGCTCCGGCCTGGCACCCGCAGTTTCGGGGTTTCCCCGGCTTAGCGGGTGGGCGCCCTGGATCCGCCTGGCGCGACGCCGGAGTGCGCCCCAGACCCACCCCTCCCACCCCACGGAACGTGAGGAATCCTCCCTGCGCCTCCGCTCTTCCGAGAGGGAATCCCCAGAGTAGAGGTGGTTTAAAAAGTTCTGTAACTTAATTTAGTTTCAATTTTTCTAATGAGGGAGAACTGGAGTGATAAATGGGGTGCTTCCTCAGAGTCTTTTTGCCTCGTCTTTCCTTCCCCCTTCCTTCTCCCATCCCGCTCTCCCCCACCCACCGCCCACCACCCCATCCTGTCTCCCATCTCCTAGACACACACTTCCTTTTTATCCCCAGTCTGGCCATTCGATTTCTCAGGATGGTCTCAAACTCTAAGAGAGTCCTTAGGTACTTAGGGTGAACTCTTTACTGATTGAACAATAGCAGTGAAGGGAACATTACTCGTTCTCACCCAATTTCTAAAACAGCAGAGACTGAACTCTCAGACATCTACCTTCTGATGAACTCCTGAGACTGGCTTGAGGTTTACTGGGAACGTCCGTGGTTCTAACCTATCTTTCTAGGTCCCTCTCCACTCCCTGCCCTTAGGCTGTTCAATTGTTGATTTCAGGGATAAGCAGGAAAATCACCCTTTGAAAGCATTGCTTTTGCTTTCTCATCGATTCCTGGAAATACTGTAGAATCTGCTTTTATAGGAACCTATGGGTACTCTGGAAAGCAACATGGGACTTTATGTTTGAATGAAAGATGACCACTACGAAAGAATGTCAAGTTGGGCAAAGATGGTCTGATCCCTGTGCAAGCGGCCACAACCGTGGATTAGCTGTATCGATCCTTCAAGGCAGCACCTGGGAATGGAACTGGAAATACTTGCTTCTTGTTAGATAGACCCAGGGCACCCCAAAGACTCCGTGGTTTAGGACCAAATCCAGAGATCTGCGTTCTGGTGACAGATTCACCACTAGAAGTTCTGTCCTGGCAAGGAGCTGCAGTCTCTGGGTTCCCAGCTGTCAAACAGTGGTGACATAACATGGCTAACCCAGCGTCTCTGTGAGGACTTGTTGAAAGCAGGTGATTGGAAACACATGCAGGGTACCAGCGTTTTACAACTGTCTAGCACCTGCCCAGGGGAGATTGCTCCTGCAAGTCCTAGCTACTTCCTCATTCGTCAGGTGTGGGCAGATATCCTAGACTTCCTTGTGACTTACTTTTGTAGGTCACCGAACAGGAAAGCTGTGGTGAGCGACAGAATAGCATGCAAGTAAAGGGTGACAGGAGTACTTAGATGGCACTCTGGAAATGTCTGAATGGGAAAAAAATTAAAAAGGAGAAAAAGAGAGAAAAAAACCCCTCATTTGATGTGTTTAGCATTCTCTTTGGTTCTATAGAATATGTGGAAGTGCATTTTAAATTGACAAGTCAGATAATGCAGCAGAGTCCTTAAAAGTGTTGGCTGGCACAAGCTCACGATTCAGGCTCCAGAATTTTGAGTGTAGGTTTCCTTACACCGTATGTTGATTTCCAGTTTTGAAATGTAGCTTAAATCCACGTATTTTTATTAGCCATATGTTTTGTACCTGTCATGTGCCAAATACCTCTCATACAAAAATGCATTTATTTATCACAACATATTTCAGAGGGAGGTGTCAGTATTCTGATCTAACAGGTGGAGAACCTGGGGCTCAGAGGAGTTACAAATATTCAGGTTCACTCAGTAGTGGTTCTGGGATTTGAATTTAGGCTTTTTAAGTCTTGAGCCTATGCTAGTTTTGTTGATTTATTTTTATAGAGATACAAATATTAACATATAATTAAAATATGATGTATGATTTATGCTCATTTATGTATCATTGCCTAAATTATATATTACTAATTTGTAACTTAGGGAATTTAAGTGAAAGATGAGGAGTTGAGTAGCATCCCTGGAATGAAGAGGGAGTTGCCGGTGGGTGGATGGACGAGGAGCAGGGAACCATTTGGGGATCGTGGGAAGGAGGTATCCATATCATGGATATCTTCCTACTAGGCAGGACTGACTTGGGAGAGTGTACAAAGGCAGTTGAAAGTGCTTTTTTCTATCTTGATCTGGTTTTGGAGCCCCAGGAAAAGGGGGTACCCTGGGTCATTCTAACATGAAGCAAGTATTCCCAATTCCATTCCCAGGCCTTTCCTGCCTTCACTGTAAACATGGCTGTGCGGTTGGGTCAGAAGTGAAAAAGAAATAATGGGCAATAGAGTAAAACTGTTTCATTTTATGGCTCAGTACATGGGCTCTGACATCAGTTTCTAAAGAGAAATCCCAGAGGCATTTTAAGGGATGGCCGCATCATTAGAATAATAATAATCCGGTTCATGGATAGTTTTGAGGCAGTTGAGACTTACACAAATGGAGTGACTAAAATTAGTTCCCTTGCTCTGCTTTATTCAGAATTTAAGAGGAGGGTGAACTAGCTACTTTATGCTTTTATCAACAACTGGATTAAATCCCACGATGAAGATTACAAAGACAGGTTTTCCTATGTGCTATTAAATTTTTCCCAGCTCTATATAGTATCTGCTCCTGAGTCACCAAAGAGAAGAAAGGCTTTTTTGTCCAGGAAACAGATTATCCTGCCATTGCGGCAGGATCTTGTGTCATGCATTTGCATCCTTGTCTCAAGAGGGATGTGACTATCTGGGGGAATGTTCAGAGGTAGTTCCCCCAAATTCTTAAGCCATATAACATGATCATAGAATGTGAGATGCAGTTTGCAAAAATCTCTGGAACGTGCCCTGCAGAACAACTTGCCTGCGGCTTGTCCTCAGAACCTAGAATTTGGGCAAGAAGGAATAAAGATGCCAGTGAAGGAGGCAGTGTGTCTTCAGGACCCACTTTTGAGGGGACACTCGGCACAGGTTGTGTCAAAGGCTGTCCGCCCCAGGGCATGTGGGCCCTCCTGGGGGTGCTTCTGAGGAATGCTAGTTCCCATGCACACAGCTGAGGAACACTGTGCTATTGTCAGGCTGGGAGTGGCTGACAGACCATTTTCAGTGACTTAACAGTCTGTGAAGATTAAGCATGCCAGGGGGGTGGTGGGCTCGCCCCTATGGCTGATGACAGGACCCTGAAGGGGGCTGGGCTATAGGATGGCAGCTTTGGCAGGACAGGAAGAAGCATTTCCTATGGATAAGGGCTGTGGAATTCTGAGCTCAGTTCTTCAGGAAGTCACAGAGCAGTGGTCTCCTCAAGCCACCGGGGCTTGGCTTACGATCTCCAGGAAACAGTGTAAGCGAAGGACTCTGAGGCCAAAGAAGCACATTGACCCTCATTCTGCAGCTCACTGGACACCCCAGACCACTTTATTTTGTATTAACCTTATGGTCCAAGCTGCTTCTTAAATAGGACTGAAAATGGCACAGGGTCATTTTGGTCTCTGGAGCTCTGTAAATGGGAAAGTAGGTTCCATCCCTGGGAAGCTGAAGGTTCCTCTGCTGGCACTTCTGTTCTCCCATGAGCTCTGTTCAGCCCTTGGCTTGGTCACTTTGGAAGAGTTCACAGCCTTCGAGCTGATAAGAGGTGGCTCTATCCCTGGGTTCCAGATAGTCCCAGGGCCTTTAATGCTCCCCTACACCCAACTGGAAATGCCAGTGCTCTCAGGGGCTCCAAAGTGTGACCCTTAATTGGGAATTTCTCAGAGTGTATATTCTTTAAAGTTGTGGAGGCCTCTACAAACATGTATGAAATGCCCATTACCTGAAGGAGGTCCGGGTGTGGGATATGAGAACAGGGATGTCTCAGAACCACCTGCCCTCTCTCCAGTTTCACTTGACCTAGGGAGATAAGGCCAGTATCTGTTTATATGTGAACATGAAACCAGGTACAGCAGACAGCAGCAGGCACTGGGCTGTGTGGACAAAGGCTGTCCGCCCCAGGGCATGTGGGCCCTCCTGGGGGTGCTTCTGAGGAATGCTAGTTCCCATGCACACAGCTGAGGAACACTGTGCTATTGTCAGGCTGGGAGTGGCTGACAGACCATTTTCAGTGACTTAACAGTCTGTGAAGATTAAGCATGCCAGGGGGGTGGTGGGCTCGCCCCTATGGCTGATGACAGGACCCTGAAGGGGGCTGGGCTATAGGATGGCAGCTTTGGCAGGACAGGAAGAAGCATTTCCTATGGATAAGGGCTGTGGAATTCTGAGCTCAGTTCTTCAGGAAGTCACAGAGCAGTGGTCTCCTCAAGCCACCGGGGCTTGGCTTACGATCTCCAGGAAACAGTGTAAGCGAAGGACTCTGAGGCCAAAGAAGCACATTGACCCTCATTCTGCAGCTCACTGGACACCCCAGACCACTTTATTTTGTATTAACCTTATGGTCCAAGCTGCTTCTTAAATAGGACTGAAAATGGCACAGGGTCATTTTGGTCTCTGGAGCTCTGTAAATGGGAAAGTAGGTTCCATCCCTGGGAAGCTGAAGGTTCCTCTGCTGGCACTTCTGTTCTCCCATGAGCTCTGTTCAGCCCTTGGCTTGGTCACTTTGGAAGAGTTCACAGCCTTCGAGCTGATAAGAGGTGGCTCTATCCCTGGGTTCCAGATAGTCCCAGGGCCTTTAATGCTCCCCTACACCCAACTGGAAATGCCAGTGCTCTCAGGGGCTCCAAAGTGTGACCCTTAATTGGGAATTTCTCAGAGTGTATATTCTTTAAAGTTGTGGAGGCCTCTACAAATATGTATGAAATGCCCATTACCTGAAGGAGGTCCGGGTGTGGGATATGAGAACAGGGATGTCTCAGAACCACCTGCCCTCTCTCCAGTTTCACTTGACCTAGGGAGATAAGGCCAGTATCTGTTTATATGTGAACATGAAACCAGGTACAGCAGACAGCAGCAGGCACTGGGCTGTGTGGACAGCTCCTGCACCCAGAGCACCCTCCATGGGCAGGGTGGAGGCAGGCCCCCCCCAGAATGGGAGAGACTTGGACCTGGCTTGTGGAGAGAGGGGGGTCTTCAGACCGGAGGTCTTAACCCTGGTAAAGCAACTGATCCACTTTGAGAAGTTTAGTTAGAAGCCAGGGCTTGCTCCCACCTCCCTGCAATGTGGTCCCCTAGGTCCAGGTAGGGGCTAGGTGTGTGTAGTTTAAAAATTCCCCTACAGGTGATTCTAATGTGCAGCCAGACTTGGGGTCCTCTCATTGAGAAAGTTTGGACTGTAGTCCTAATGTGGGTGGGCACTTGCCTTTACTGATGGCCACGGCCCAAATCATGGTGGTAAAGAAAATAAACGAGGTGTCGACTCAGGAATGAGCTTTGGGAAGTGGCTGCTAGGCCTCTGTGGTGAACACTGAGTCATGATTGTTCCCATTTGTTGAACTCCTGATATTTTTTTAGCAAATGTTTCATGTAAATGATCTCTAGTTTTTACAGATTTATTATATTCACAGTGGAGGACCTTGGGTCAACCAGTTTTAGTAGCTTGCTGATCATCACCTGCTTTTAAGCGGAGAGGTAAAACTGGGATTGGAATCCTAATACAGAAACACACTTTTCCTATCATGGTCCATTGTTTCCCATAGTGTCCATGTGGGAATTACCCAATAGCTCATCAGGAAGTAGAAGAAGAGTCACAGAACCATTTAGGGGCAGGTGGCAGCCCTAGAAGCCCCTCCCCCTGGCAGGCAGGCATGCTCATAACCTGGAGCTCTGCACAGCAATGTGGGGAATCCGTGGGCAAAAGGGAGAGCATTCCAGCTTTACAGTGGTACACTGCAGCAAGTAGTCCTGGTTCATTTCTCCACCGCATCTTTGAAATGGGCTGATGCCTCCCTTGCAGCGCTGTTAGAATGAAGTGAAATGGTGTTGGTGATCTGTAAACCATGGTGGTTATAATTAGCCACTTGCCTACTGCAGCTTACTTCCTGGCATCCCTTGTGTCCTTCCCTTCAGTCCTCTTCCCAGGCACTAATTACATAGAATCTGGGCCACAGCAGTAGCCTTCTAGTTTTCCACTCTTAACCACAAACCACTTTTCCCTCCTATTCAGCTCTTGTGTTCCAAAACCTTCACTGGGCCCCCAGTGCACACCACATTAAATCCAAACTGCTCTGACAGCATCCAAAGCCCTCTTGAGTGTGCCCCAACTTTTCACTCTTTCTTCTCGGAACATTCATGACTTGCCTTTGAAACTCACCTTCCCATCAGACGGATGGGTCCCTTGGCCAGTTCCATCATAAGTGAACACAGACGGTGCTCCTTCCTGGCTGTGGAATGCCTTTCTGGGCTGCCCTTCACAATCCTGCCTATTTGCACCCCCCCTCATTCCCCCACCCCGCTCAGAACCCCTAGGGCATGTTCTTGCAACTTCTTTGTGAGGTTTCATTCTGCCCCTTTGTAAACTTGACTCCATGGAGTGCAGCCCCTGAGATCAGGGTCCCTCATGTCTGCGTCACTGGCCCCTAGAAAGCATTCAGAAATGCTGTTGAAACCAAATAAAGCCTAACCATCTCCCTCTACTTTCCAGGCTAACAAGGAAAGTCCTTGGAGCCCCTGTAATAAGAAGGTGATCAGAAAGTGCAAACTATGGATGGTCATTGCCTCTATTTTCCTCGGTATGATTATAGTGATCATCATAAGCTTATGTCTTATTGGAGGTAAGAGGATTTAAACATGACTAAGTTGGCTTGTTAATGCTTGTGGCTTACACTGAAATGAAGGTGTCCTTATTAGTATTTTGTTATGTATTTTATAATATGAATTTAAAACTGGTTTGGGAGGTGTTGTATGGGTATGAGATATATATAGTTCTTGTTCTTGTTTTTGTTTTTTTAATTTTGTTTGTTATGTTATTTTATAAGCTCTGGAAGAATTTTGGAGACCAGTGTTTAAACTCTGCCCATTGGATCTTAAAGATTTCTTAGATGTTTCAATACTTAAACACTAATGTATATTTTATTATATTTCTATATCTGCTTGTTTGAAATAATTTTTCATATAATTTGTGTAGTAAAAATATGTGTGTATTTCATCTGATATACTTGGTGTATTATTATAGTAATAAAATGATGAATAATGTATTTGACAGTTTAAAAAATCTTATAGAACCATATATCTATAAGCTGCCATTATTTTAACTTATTTTAGAAATAACTTAATATATTCTATTGTATGTGTATACAAAACAAAAACTTAGTGCTAGCTGTTTATTTTACATACATTATCTCATTTTATTATTTATTATGATTATAAAAATAATACAAAGTCAATTACCCATGGGCCCATCCATATTATTAATATTTTGTTGTATTTCCTTCTAGTCTTTTAAAAATAATTTGAGATAAAATTTTTTTATAGTCCTATGGCCTACATTTAGGATTTTAATGTAACATTGGGATCGTCTTGCCAATTCATTAAAAATTACTTGTGATCATCTTTTTTTTAATGACTGCATGATGTAGTCTTCGATACCATTTAAAGCCTTTTTGGTAGTTGCCTTTTTATGATTATCGGTATAATAAAGATTTTCATGATGTATAATTATAGCACCCTCCAGTGGGCAATCATTTTGGTTTCAAATAGGAAAAGAGAAAATTGTTTTTATTTGTAACAATGCCTGTAGGTGGTAATTGTAGGGAAAGGGGGGCAGTTCTGGAGTTTGGGTGCTCTTGCAGCAGACTCGTGTTGAGTGAGGCTCTTCACAGTAGACCCAGAGAATGAGAGCCCCCCAGCTTCTCCAGGGGGGCCTGGGAACTTTCTCAGGAGCTACATGTGCCGTTCACCTCCTGTTCCTCCTCCCCAATTCCTTCCTATGTCTCCAGGTTCTGTAGTCCCAGAAGGAATAGGGAAATGTGATGACATGTGCCAGCCTCCAGCATGGGAGATTCTCAGGCAGGCGCCATGTTTACTCAGTTCCTTCGGGCATAGCTGAGGTCGGATGGGTGATTCTTTGAGACCACAGGCTGGTTCTGCGGTGGGGAGAGGTTCATAGGAGTGCTGCACCCGCTCCAGCATGCCAGGACAATTGTTTGGTGTGCGTACTATACTCCCTCTTCCCATCAACTCCCACATGTGATGTGAAAACTGCACTTGAGTCCCCCAGCCTTGCCAATCACAATGAGCTGGTGCTGTCCTGAAAGCTGGCTGATTTGTGTCGTGGCATCGGAGCCTACAGCTCCGATGTATCTATAAGCTGCCATTCTTTTAACTTATTTTAGAAATAACTTTACATATTTTATATAAAGGACGATGCAACAGATCGCCAGTATTCAGGATTCTGAAGCCCAAGATCCAATGACTTCCATTCTCAAAGTCATCCGACTTCTCCAAATCACAAAGGCAATCTGCAAAGGAAGGGGTTCCCTTTCCTTCCACAGTTTCTTAGAGGGACATGACAGCTCATAGGATAAAATTCAGGGAAGAACTTTTTAACATCTGCAGTGCAGACTTCATTTTCAACTTGGTTATAAAGTTGTGTTTTTAAAATATTAATGCTCTAAGAGAGATTTTTTACTTTTTTTTTTTTAAATCAGGGAAACACTTTTATTTTACTTGGCACCTCAGACCTCGGGGTTGGGTTTGTGCTGTGCAGTGGGGAGCGTCATGGTAGGTGGTGGGGTGTAATAGGCACAAAGGCAGGGGGCCGGGCTTCCCTCTGCAACAGTCCCAGGCTCACTGAGAACGACTCAAGAATGACAGTCTGCAACAATCAGCCATTGCCTAATTGCCAAGCCCATTGATATGAACCAAATATTTGTAGAACTTTTGAACACACTTTGGAAAACATTGCTGTCTGGGTAAAGGGCAGTGTCAAGGGAAAAGGGAGAGCCCGGGGCTGCACCTGTGGCTGTCCGGATTCATTAGGAAGTAAGGTTCCTTAGGGACTGCGTTTGCCCTTTGCCTCTTCCTTTCCTTCCTCCTAACTCCATAATCTCCTATCTCAGGGCCCTGCTGTCCCCAGACCGAGCCTGGCTGGTGGAGGTGTTAATAAGAGGGACACAGAAGTGGGCAGTAAGCCTATGCCAGAATGGAAAGGGTAACTAGTTGGGGAGGGGACAATAGGGTATATAGGGCAAGATGCCCAATGGGGAGGCAGGTTTTCTCACTGACATTGTTAAGAAGGGCCATCCAGTGATCATAGTTAAGACCAAACTGTGCTAGATGTTATTATTGTTGCTAATTCTCTGCAGACTGTGCACCCCTTATTGTCTGCTCGTGGGGTGGGCTCTCCCCCGCAGCCTTGCAAAGCCGCTGAAATGATGGCGGATTCAGGGCCATGGCTCAGCTGCAGGCATTGGGCCCGGGCTGCATTGCATGCACACTGTGGAGGAGAGGCTAGCACTCTGCCAGGCTCATAGTAGACAAAGAAATCATTGAAACATGGCCAGTATTTTAGGCAGAGCCCAGGGAATCCTGAGTCTGGGGGACTGGTTTTGTCCCAGCACTTTAGTGAAAAGAATTAATGGATTCTGTCCTCCCTAAGGATTATAAATTCCTTAGTGTAGAGGGTAAAGGAAGAAAAGCCTCCCACCCTGCCTCATCTTAAAGTCATTTTCTTTCTGGATAATTTGGAGAATCAGATAAGTACCCTCAGGATTCTGCTTTCTTCACTAAGTTGCCCCAGCAGGCATGGGGCCAGAGAGCCCTGAATGACACTTCACTAATGAAACCCTTCCTTGGTTTGGGCAAAATATTTTAAATGTTATGTAAACCAAACTGTGACAAGTAGGCAGATGCTTAGGGACCCGTATGTGATATCCTCCAGCTCCAGGGATTTCTGCCTGCCCTGTTGCTCTCTCAACATTCAGGCTGTTCTATGAGCAGGAACACTGCGGTACTGAGGGGCAAGGGGGACTTCCTACGTGACGCTGTGCTGAGTGGACTTGTTTCACCTTTGAGTTGGGAATAAGGGCCACATCTTATGCTGTCACATTGCCCTGGCAGGCAAGCAGTTGCACAGGCCAGTGCCCCTGGTGTAGGGGAACTCGGGAAAACCCTCAGCAGACAGCATTAGCAAGCTCCAAGCTACTAAGGTCCTTGGGGGCAGGAATTTAATAGCAAATCTGTAAGCCCAGGGCCTTGAAATTTCTTTGCATTCCTACCTGTTTCTCTTTCCCTCAGGTCTTGTATGTTTCTCTGCCTTTCTAAGCCTGACTTCCTCCCCTGTGTTCTCCGGGGTACCTCCTCCTGCTCCTTCCGACCCACAGACCTGCAGACGCGTCCATCTCTCTGCGTCCTCAGACTCTTCTCCATGTGGGCCTCTTCAGACGTGCTGCCTCTGTCGCTCCTTCGAAACAGTCGTCCATCAGAATTTTACCGCTTCTTTTAGATACCTTTTTCTCTCTTTTCACTGACAAACTTCTGGAAAGAGAGGTGTGCACTCAGATCTTGCCCTCTGCCCACTCCTAAACCACTGGTCCCAAATCTTTCTTTTCCAAGGTCACCAGCATTGCTTGATGGTGAAATCCAATGACCTTTCTCCCATCCCCTGCCCTGTTTGTAGCCTTTAGCTCTGTTAACTGTTGTCCTTTTCTGGGTCTGTGGAACTCCTGGCCTTTAGATCTGCTGCTGTTTCTGCCTTTGGCCTTCACATGTGGTGTGTGAGGCTTGCCTTCAGTCTTCTCACTTTTCACACCTTCATGCTTGCCTTTGAGAAGCTCATTCACTCCCAGGGCAGCTGCTACCCCCTCTCAGAGGTGACTCCTAGGTATATATCCACACGCTTTTCCTGAGTTTTAGTCACACTCTTTGCTGCAAGTCTCTACCTGGAAATACCTATCATTGCCTCAATCGTTATCTATGTGAAGCTACTACCCACTTGAATCCCCCACCCCAGTTAGCTTACCCTGTGTAGTTTCACGGTGAATCATGTGATCAGATTTATTCCAGCTCTGCCACTGTCCAGTTGTGTAACTGCAGGCAAATTCTTCAACCCTCTTGGCCTCAGTTTCCACACTTATAAAATATAAATGATTTCTGAATCTGAATCTGTATCCCGACCCTGCTACTCACTAGTTCAGTTGATCTGAACAAACTACACATTTTTTCTAAGGCTCAATGTCTTCATTTTAACATAGGGTTGATTTGTGTACTATGTGAGGTAATGTCTTCAAGTGCATACCGGAATGTCTGTACATAAGGCTTAATACAGTGGCTATTTTTCTTCCTGTGACCTGGCTTGATGTCTGGAATAATTTTTCTTATCTCTTCTGCCATGTATCCAGTAATGACCAAATCTTATCAATTATTCCTTGGTAGTATCTTGATCACAATTTTTATCATTTACTACCCACTTACTGCAAGGCACTGTGTTAGATATAATACTTTATATGTATTGATTCTCATTTTTACAATGTAGGTGTTGATCTTTATGCTGAGAACACAGCTACAGACATTTAAGCTCAGGTCAAATGGCTAATAAATATTATCCAAAGCTGGGGTTCCAACCAAGTCTGGCTACCTTTAAAGCCAGTTCTGTTTCCACCATCCTGGGCTTCCTCATCGCACTGCTGTCAGTCAAAATTAGTCCCTGCCCCCCTTGTGCACTGCAGACTCTCTGCCTCCAGTCTCTCCTAGTTCCCTTTCACCCCATCCAACATCAGATTTACTGCCTCCTCCTTCCTGGGAGACATTTAACAACCTCCATTGCACCCTGAAGACATCCAATATTTAAGGCCTCTTTCTCCAGTCTCATTGCTTACATTCTAGCCAAAGATCTTTTTGTGTACCTCCAATGTGTCTGTGTTGAGATTTTTTTTTTTTAAACACCTTTCTCTACATGGAAAGTTCTGCCCAGATGAAGTCTCACTAGTGACATATAAACTCTCCTGTGTGGGTGAAGCCCCTTGTTCTGTTATTATTACTTTAATAAGCACAATCATTTAGTTAGATCTTGGTATGGATTCATTATTTAGATGATCCACTTTGAGTCTGTATCATTAGAGCTATTGCTGGAGACCTTTTTGAACTTGGCATCTCTTCTTAGGGCCCCCAAGGTCAGCAGTTATTTGAATCCTATATCCATCCTCTGACTCCCCCTGTTACTTTCTGAGCAATGATGCCTGCTGTGAAAATGCACATGGTGGGTGTAGAGTTCTTAGCTATCCTTTGCACAAAGCACTGTTATAGTGGAAAGGTGAAAGCGCTAAAAATCAAATGTCAGGAAATAGTGAGCCACCTGTGAACACTATGCAGCCATCAAAATCATCTTTGCAGGGAATTTCAAACACATGTGGAATGGCTTTTGATATGTGTTAACAATAAAAGAATAAAGACAAATAAGCCATGGCAGCAATAAAAGGCAAAAAGCAGGAGGCCACACAACCTGTTCATGAAAACCTCGGATATATACAGAAAATGTGGAGGAAGAAGGTTTAGACTAAAAGGATTATTAATATTTTTTGTTTCGTTTTGTTACAATTTCCTGTACTTGGCAAGTTTTCTGCTATGAGGCCATAACTTTTTATCCAACAGAATAATGTAATGGCTTACAACTAATAAGGATACAGGGATAGCTCCCTGTGTTTGGGGTCCCTGAGGTCTCCTCCTAGATTCAGTGATTTGCTGAGAAGAACCACAAAACTCAGCATATAGACTTAGAAATGGCTGGGATTTGTGGCAGCAAAAGGATATAGAGCAAAACTTGGAGGAAACCAGGCACCAGCTTCAGCAAGTCCTTTCCGCATGCAGGCACAGGGGCTGCACGCAGTTCTTCCAGCAATGAGTTGTGAAGTGTTGTCTGCCAGGGAAGCACGTTACAGACTCAGTGCCCAGAGTTTTTATTGGGGTCAGTCACCCAGGGCAGCCTCTGTTTGGCACATATGAAAATTTCAGACTCCCAGAAGGAAAGCAGATGTTCAGCATAAGCCACACTGTTTGTACAGTTGAAGCACAGCGAGCCACTCTTACCAGGGAATGGTTAGAGCTCTGATAAAATCCAGGCTCCCAGAGGCCAGCCTTGAGCAGGCCTTGCTAGGCTCGCAGTCTCAGGCCGGCTATGTTAACTCTTTTCTGCACATTCCCTTGCCTCTCATGCCTCACATTTCCTGACTTCCCTGGCAATAAGAATCAGGAAGCATGGGATTTGAGAGAAAAGTCTACATCAACACAAACACCTGTTTCCATCCACCCACGCCTTTCTCAGGGCCAGGAAGGTGTTTCCAAGCGTGAGCCCAGCTGGTGAGGCTGACGGAGTCAGGGGAGTGTGATTAATGCCCTGAGAGCCAGCTTCTAGCTCCTGGCTCCTGACTTTGTGTGCTTTCCCTTAGGTCTAACTGCCTAGAAATCAACTAGCTAGCAGTCATTAGAGCATAAATAGCCACTCAGAACTCCCTGGCCCAGGAATTTATCTCCCAGGTGTCCTGGGCCCCTGAGAGCAGTTTGGTTTCCCTTGTGCAAACGGAGTGTGTCAACATGCCCCTCCTGTGGGACACGATCTAGAGCGATGGTGTTGTGCCAGCTCCCAGCCTTCCTGGGAGATCCGGAGGCTCTGGCTCACACGCTCCATCCTGGCTGCTGCTCTGTCCTGGTGGGTGATGTCCTGTCTTGATTATCATGCCTTTGACAGCACAGAAGTGAGGGCGATTCAACCAAGTTCCCTGTTCCCCATGCCTGCCCCCCTCACCCTTGTCCACACCCTGCGCTGTCTCCCAGCACCTGCCCTGATTCCTGTGCATGTGGCTAAACTGTAGGTTTAATTTAGCAAACAAATCCATGTTCATCCCACTCTTTCCCACTGGCCCTTCCCCCAGTCTGTGTTCAGTGGAATCTGGGGCCCCTTATGGCACTAAACAAACACAATTTTTATCACGATGGAGGCAAGCCCCGTCTTTATGTGGTCATACTGAGAGGAGAGAACATTTCTGATTCTACTTGCATACTGTGTCCAAACTTATCCTTGAAGAAGGCTGATTGTTTTTGATAGCACCAATGGGATACATAAGTCTGTCATTTTATTATTTCATGTATGTGTTTACTTTTACTTTTCATTTCCTCCCCACCACTCTCTTTAGTAACTTATGTCGATGAAGATGAAAATGAAATAGTTGAATTAGCATCAAATAAAACATTCTTGATCATGCTAAAGATTCCAAAGGAGTGTATTACTGAAGAGGAATTGCCTCACCTGCTCACTAAAAGGGTAATTATATCTTAAGCATTGTTTACTGAGTTTTTAACATCTGAATATGAATTCTGCCAGAACAGGTGGCATAGAGCTATTGAATCAGTGACTTCAAGATTGGATTCTTTGAATTTTGACAGAAACTGGTGCTTAGAAATGGGTTTTCTGTAGGGCAGAGCCAGAGAGAAGAGGTGTGGCCTCCAGCTCCATGCATCTTGAAGGACAGTGCTGTTTCCTCACTCTGGGCTTATCTTTGAATCAAACGGTGGCTTCATGGAGGGTGTATGATCTGCTGGACACATGCTGAGTGCCGAGACCATGAAGCCTGTGCTCTGGGTGGGGGCTTATAGTCCAAGGAGAGGAAGCATTTAAATAATTATAAAACAGTGTGGTATGTTCTATTGTTGAGAAACGTATAGTGTGTTTTACAACCCAAAATCCACAGTGTGTTTAAACTACCTGACCTGAGGATGGAGGCTTGGAAGGCCTCCTGGAGGAGGTGATACTCAGGACGAGTCTTGAAATAAGAAGTAGGAGTGCCCTAAAGAAAGAGCAGAGAGCACTATTGGGTCTGCACAGCATGTACGGTGAGGCAGGGCCTGGCAGGGGTGAGTGATCAGGAAGGGAGGGGTCAGATTATGAAAGTTTTCCTACTCTCTGGTAAGGCCCTAAAAGATCTTAATCTGCAGCTGACATGGTCAGCTTTTCATTTTAGCCTTTCTGTGTGATGGTGGAGAAATGGTGGAGGCTGAGAGCTTAGTTAGAAGGTGTTGCAGTAGTCCATGTGGCAAATGAGGGGGCATAAATAGGGCAGTTTCAGGGGAGTGAGATTCAAGTGAGATTTAAGAGGTCTTCTCACTCCTCAGGTCTCAGTGGATGTGGGGGTGGAGGAGGGAGAAGGCTCCAGGCTCCTGACTGGTGGCTGCGTGGGTGGGTGGTGGCATCACTCATGGAGTGTGAAATGCAGAAGAATGCCCTCTGTGCAATACAAGGTCTCTCAAGTCAGACCATAAGGGTGGGTGGGGCAGTCCTGGTTTGCCTGCCAAAGACAGTGGTTCACAGCCAGACCCAGAACAGTTTTGGTAAGAAAATCTAAGCAAGAGCAGCCTGCCATCCATTACATTCTTCTCTGGGGTTGATAGATTGATTGGGATGAGTCCTCCTCCCCTCGGCTCCCATTTGAATCCTACAAAAGATCCTGAAAGGGGTGGTCCCATCTCAGACATCACAGAGTCAGTTCTGGGTGCCAAGTGCATGCCGTTTGCTTGCTCCTTTGCTGGGACTCAGGCGTTTGCACTCTGGGATGATTATCCCAGGTTTCTCTCCCTCCTTCTTTTCCTTGTTTATACCTTACCTGCACTTCCCTTTACCTCCCTTCCTCCCATCTGCATCTAGAGCAGGTTACTGAGTGAATAGCCTCTTGCTACTTTCCTTCTGTTTTTTTTTTCCCTTATTGAGGGGTTTTCCATTTGCTGAAATGATTCAGCATCACACATGTCACCTGTGACAGATTGGATTCCTCGTGTTAAAGGGAAACAAGATATTAATCATTCACCTTAGAGCCCCATCTCCTGTGCGGAGCCAGACATGAGCAGGTCTACAGGTATTTCTAGCTCATCAGCACAAAGTGGTGAAGGGACAGGGACGGCCACGATTCTGGGCGTCTCAGGCATCTGAGCTGATCCCTTCTCTGAGGAGTGGAAATCCCCACACTTGCCCTGTATGCCTCACAGATGCACATGAGATGCATATGAACAACTCCCTGAAGCATTTTTTTTTTTCAGAATTATCTGATTTACAGATAACAAAAGTGAGGCACAGTGAAGTGAAAAGACTCCTACCACCCACCCTTTTCCAACCAAATGTGTTCAGGAACAAAAATGAGCAACTTAGAGATATTATTGTCTTGTTGTCAGGTCAAGAATCCCTTTTTTCCACTTAGGCCAACTTCTAGAAGTTTCTGGATATGGAAGGTAAATGGAGTGGACAGTGAACATCATGCCCTCTCTTTTGCTTTATTGACTTGCTTTTCTAAACACACTTTTCTTGGCCTCTCTCCTGTTTCCCTGCCAGACTTTCCTTCTCTGAGGGCTGGGCTGTCACTCTGTATACAGCAGCCTGTTAGCTGTGTGTTGTGACACCTCAGATCATGTGCTCCCACATGTGTAACTGTGTCCTGATGATCGCAGGAGACCATGCCGCCAAAAAGAATCTTAGGGTGGACCATAAAGTGATCTAGTATAGCCCTCCATCTCTTAATGTAAGATTCTAAATTAAGTTGATTTCTGAGAGCCTAATATGTGCAAAATGCAATGCTAGGCCCTAAGGTTAATAAAGCAAGGAAGGGAGAGAGGGAACAGAGAAGGTTAGAAGGAAGGACAGACATAATCTCCGCTATAAGAAGCTCAATCTAAAAGGAAGAGAAGGCATCAGTAGTAGTATTATCAGTGCTTGAAAACAGAATCCCATCTGTAGCACCTTCATCCCCCGTGGACCTGAGCGGCCTATGTAAGCTGCTTTCCCACTTCCTGAGTTCTCTAAATGATTGTTGGCCTGTTGGCAACACTCTTTTCTCTGGGGCTCAACAACTATAAGATGACCCAGTTGTTTCTCCCCAAAGTTCTTATCACTTTATGTTTCTTTCCTCCTTGATATTCAGGACACTTTCCTAAAGTACACAGCTGAACTAAATATGATAATACGTGAAGGCGTGAAACCTGACTAGTGGGAACACAGGTGTTAACCCTTTTTTGTGATTGCGGTATTCCATGCACAAATAAGAACCCCCTATCTTTGTAGTTATCGACCAGCCCCACTTGGTCCCATTCTCGGGGGGAAAGTGCTGTACCTGTGGCTTACATGACAGGTTCTTCTTACAAGAGGCTCTGGAGAAAGGAGAGAAGCCCTTGTCAGGCAAGCCAGGTCCCGCGTGGCCTGTTTTGCGGTCTTCCCAGCTACTGTGGCGTCCCCTCCTTCCGTGGTCCTCAGGGGCTGTGTGCCCCCTACTCTCCCACTGACTGCTCCCACCCTTAAAGCCACAGGTGTCAGCAGAAAATTTAAGAGATGATTGAAAATCACGGCCTGGCCACTTAGTCCTTATAAATGAGATTCTTTCAAACAAGTGTTAACTTGAGTTGCAGTTGGTGGTAGGCCCACTGCTTCCTATTTCTTGGTCCGGAGCCTTTGGATAAGTTCACTCCCAGCTGGAGTGGAATCCCCTCTGTCTGGGTGTAGCTTTGCCCTGCTGGGTGATGTGCACTATGACCTGTCAGGCTGTGTGTGGCTGTTTCACATGCTCCTATGTGTTTTAGATAACAGATGTGTACAGTTCCTCCCCGTCTCTGAGTCGTTATTTCACCTCAGCGGAGATCGTGGACTTCAGGTAAGAGTGTGGAGCATTTGTGTTGATCTCTTTCTCTGCAAAGTCACACTCATCACCATTTATAGGGAAGGGCACCCCAAACCTCAGAGCCTGAAGGGAGCCAGTGATCACAGAGTGTCGGTGCAGGAAGGTCTTAAGACACCAATTAGCTCAACTCTCCTTGTTTACAAAGGAGAGAAATGAAGCCCAATGAATGGTATGTCCCAAAGGTCGCAAGAAGAGAAGAAAAGCCACTCACATGTAAACCATTCCTATGTAACAGCAGATGCTCAGTAAGCTAAGGGTAGATCCAAATAGTGATGTGCCTTAAAGGACATAATTCATGTATTGGCTTGTGCATGGGGACACAAATACTGCAGGAGTCCATACTCCTTGTATAATACTAAAAATATAAAGATATATGCCACAGGATATCTGCCTTCTCCCCTCCACCCTGCCCCACTCACCCTGGACAGTCTGTGCCGATCAAGTTCATACACATAGTACATTCAGCCATCAACAGTTTGGTGTGATTTCTTCTGTACATGCACTTATCATATATACTTTATATACTGTACCCTGTTAGGGAGGAAGTAATGTCCTTTACTCTTTGAGGTTCTTCTAGTTGGTCTATGAATCAAATGGGCATGAGATAGAGTAACAGGAGAAAAAAACAAAATTTAATTATATACCTAAGGGGAATCCATAGACACAGATTTCAAAGAGAGTCAGGGAGTAAAGTATGTGTGTCATCCTGAACCAAGGAGAATGGGGTCCGGGCCTGAGATCACAAAGGAAAAGGGAAGCAATTCGCAGGAATATTAAAGAGTAATATTTGGTAAACAAAGCTTGCTGGGCCACTGAGAAACAGTGGGGTACAGAGAGGAATTATAACAGACTTAGCCACCACCCTCCGTGTCTACCACCCCTAGTTCACATTACAATGTAGTTATCTAGGAAGATATCTCTCCCCAAGGAATGTTCCTCCATCTAAATTCTTTTTATGCAGTTAAGGGGGTGGGAGGAAGGTCCAAGTTTCTGAGTCTTTTGGGCCTCGATTGTTTTCAGCTCTGAAATCATCTGCATGTCACGGTGGTACATCTTGGGTGGTGATTATCACGAGTGATCATTACAGGGTGGCGCCCATGACACCTACAAACTACAGTCGCTGGCTTAGTGTTTGAGAGTGCATTTTTAATATACCCATAGTGCATTCATAACCTGTTTTTCTCCAGAGTTCCGACTATATTATTCATTTGAAACAGGTTTTGGCGCACTTCTTAGCAGTTGTAGAGTTTATAAACCGAATTGTCAACCACATCAATGTTAAGGTTAAGAGCATTGGCCTACGTGACCTATGGCCACAAGAGGGAGCTCGTTGCCTGGCCTTTGTCCGTCGCTCAGGCGTCTGATTCAGCCTTCTGGGGCTGGCCTGTCTGTACAAAATGCCCTAGGGGGAGGGTCTCAGGTGTGGCACCACTTTTATTTTATTGGTGGCTCCTAATCTGGGCCCTCTTGAACCAAAGTAATACAACTGTGAAACACTTAAGTGTGGAGCTAGCATTTAACGAGTGCTATAACTGCTAATTAACTGAGCATAGCCCTGTGATTATTTTTATTTTGGAAACGGAAAAAATTTGTCCTAGGAGGATGAAAACTCCCCTTCCTTTCGTCCCTTTATTGAGAGTTGCAAAATTGGGATCCTTGGGAAATGGAAATAGGACAGAAAAAGTTTCTCACTTTGGAGACAAACCAGGGAATATTTGGGGCTGGTGCACAGGGCAGCCTGGGACTTCAGGAGGTCTCCCGATGGCAGGGAGGCTGGGGCCCTACCTTAACTGTCTTATAGGTTAAGTTATGAACTGGTTAAACTCAGTAGCTCCCCTAGACACTTGTGGGAACAGAGAGAGGGTGTAGTGTGAGAACACGGAGAAGGGAACACTTGCAGAAGGCAGGGCTGCCCTGGGCATGCCTCAGGGGCGAAAGGCTGGTGTTGTGGTGGGCGATGTGCCTGCAGCCCTTGGGTCTTCCTTGACAATAGCTGGGTCACTTCTTTCTCTCCCACGGCCTCTCCCAGTGGGCTCCTAGGAGATGGGCTCTCTGTGGAAGGATCAGGTTAGGACCACTTTAACTTTTGGTATGGACCTACGGGAGGAGGGTTCTTCTAGGACTACATGCTCTCCTAGAACAGCACACCCTTTGCTATTTGCTGCTTTGTCCTGGAAGAACAAAGGGAATGAAAAAATGTTATTGCTAAGATCAATTTCCTCTAAGTTGCAGTGTGATTCTATGGGTAGATTTTATTGTTTCTGTTTGGTTTGCCTTTCAGTAGTGAAAATGCGACGGTTACCTACCACCTGCAGTTTGGAGTCCCACTGGCGGATGATGGTTTTATGAAGTATATGATGAGTGGGGAGCTGGTGCGGGGCATTTTGCTCCAGGACCTGCATGACAAGAACATATCTGGGTGTGAGTCTCTGGGGCTTGATCCAGCATCCCTCTTGCTTTATGGTAAGTTGAGCAAGTCAAGAGGGCAGAGATGTGATGGTAAACATGTGAACCAAATTGGGGCGGATGATTTCAGTTTGATTTTTGTGCAGGTGATATTCCACCCTCTGTGGCGGTTACACAGTCCCTGCCTTCCAGGAGCAGACAGAGTAGTTGGAAAAAAATAATTAAACTATAGAAATGAGGGTTGCTAAATGTTTCACTGTTGTTCTAAGTCCTGTGTCCCCCTTGACAATATCATTATTAACCTTCAAGGAAACGTGGTTTCGTAAGAGAAATAAATGTTGAAGAATTTGAAATAAGTGATAAAATCAAGTTGTTAAGAGATAACCTCAGTGTGGGGGACCTGACTCTTTTTCTGTTGAAAACCACTGAGTCTGTGAAGAAATTAATAGGGAGGCTTAACCAAATTATGTCTCTTTCCTTAGAAAATTATAATAAATGTACTCATCTTCTTTTAAAACTAAGAACAGAACAAGGAAATTGATATGTTATTTACAAGCATAGAAGACACAGTTTTAGGTCTCAGGAACTTTTAAACCTGTTCAAAATCTGACAAAGAGGAAGGGGGGGAGGGTCAATGTCCTCCCACTGCATCTGTACTGAGCTGGGGCCTTAGAGGTGATCTCTTCTCCCCTCCTACTTCTGATTCCACACTGGGAGATGCGTTGGTTCTCATTAGCCCGCAGTGCTAACCATAGTGAATATCATATTTTCTCGTCCACTATCCATCAGAAACTCTTTCTGCACTTTGATGGTGGTAAATACTGGTTGAGTGGAGGAAAAAGGCAAATTAGAAGGAGATGTGGTTAGCAGCAGACACGGAGCCAGCAGCCTAGAATCAGAACGTGGAATAGAGGGATTATAAAGCTCTATGTTGTGGGAAAAGAGGCATTTATGGTGTAACGTGAAAGTGGACCAATCTTGGCCTGAGAGGGCAGAGAGCTTTCTTAAATTTTTCTTCTTAAAGCTTTCCTTTTCCCACATGAATAAAAAGGTGATATTCAGAAAGCCAGATTTAGCTCGCTGGGAAAGTCTCAGCGGTGACCAAGTTCCTCAGAGGACATCTGAATAAATAACGTGTGTGGGCCAGGCCCAGGGCATCCACTTGTGGACTGACGAGGTCTTGCCCCTTTTACAGGACTTTTAAAAAGAAAAAAAGAAAGAGAAAGCTGTGCCCCCCTCCTGTGTGAGGAGGCGAGAACAGGGAGGCCCACCCTGCAGGAGTCACCCATGGTGGTGGCGGCTGTGATGTGATCACCCTGGTTTTCTGAGCTCCCTCTGTAGCACTGTGGTTACCAGCTCTTAACACATGTAGGCAAGGGTGAGAAAGATCACAGGGATGTGAGGTCAGGAGGGCCATACAGCCACAGAGAGGACCGCTGAAGGCAGGCTGCTTGTGAGGCCTGAGGAGGGCCCTGGGAAGACCTGAGCCCAGCCTTGGACCCCTTTCCCCAGGGCCGGACTCTGATGGGCCCTGGGGGGATGCAGCCATGAGCTGACCGGTTCGTGCTCCTCAGGTTATACTCTTCCTGTGGGACATTTCTGCTGGGGGGTTTCTGTGACCCCACACCCACTCTCCAGAGCACGTGTGTCCAGTGTCTGAGCCATTTGATATTTTCAGGGATATGAGTATCAGTCCCCTCTCCACTGCAGGTTAGACAGCGACCATTTGGGAAGGGAGGAAGGAGAGAGACTCAGAGAAGGCAGGTAGGCCGAGGGAGGGGACAAGCTCAGAGGCAGACTCCAAAGAAAGGGAAGAGTAGGACTTGGCGGGGATGGGGGAGGCCCCTGGGAAGACCCAGAGAGACCCAGAGGGTTCTCAGGCCGGCTTCTCACGTTCACATACGCTGCAGGCTGGGCAGTTCACCCCCACCCTCCTGTGATGAGCTGGCCAAACTAGTTTCCCACAAAGATAGTGTTCACATTTTTCAAAGAGCAAAGATTCTTGGTTTGTGTGCCCCTTAGAGAATTTGAAGACAGCCATGTACCTTCTCTCCATAAAAAAATGCACATATCCCTTCTTCCCTCTACGAAAAATTGTGCACTTCGTCTGCATTCCCTGAAGCCGGTCTGCGGTTCCTTTGAGGTTCATATTTGTGTACTTAGTGTCAGAACCTTAAATTAGATTGTAATTGGATTCCTGAGTTTTTTTGTGTGTGTGTATTTCTCATTCTCTAATTTGGAAATACAACGATTTGGGTCTAGCAAACACATTTTTGATGCCTCCTAAAAATAAAAACTTCCTTTTATATTATAATTATAAGGAGTTTTTTTATGTGTATTTTTTCTTCTAGTTTTATTCAGATAGAATTGATATATAACACAGTATAAGTTTAGGGTGTACTGCATGATGACTTGACACACATATATTGTGAAATGATTATTACCACAATAAGTTTAGTTAACATCCATGACTTCATGTAGTTACAAAATTATTTTTCCTTGTGATGAGAACTTAGGAGCTACTCTTAGCAAAGCCACTCTTTCAAACCTATCACATGGCACTGGTAACTGTAGTCATCCTGTTGTACATTATGTCTCCAGTACTTATTCACTTTATAACTGGATATTTGTACCTTTTGACCACCTTCATGCAGTTCCCACATCACCCCACCCCCACCCCATCCCCCACTTCTGGCAACCAAAGAATGAGCAACTTCACGCTCTTACTCTGAGCTTGCACCATTGAGATCATGCAGTATTTGTCTTTCTGTCTTATTTCCCTTAGGTACTGCCTTCAAGGTTAAAGGTTAAGGGTGTTGTTTAATGGACCACACCCCTCCACCTCTCCCTTCCCCTATCTCTGAACTTCTTTACTTTATGAGGCCCCAGGGATGAGGTGGGGAGGTCTGTTTTACTAAATGGCAACATGAGTTATTTCAGACACTGTGAGTTATTTTGGGTGTGGTTTAGTGATTGTGAACTGTTACTTCGTACTGTTGCCTCACATGTGAAGGCGTCAGTTAACTGACCGAGTGAGGACCAAAGGCAAAAGCCAGATTTATGTGAGAGAGAAGAGGAAAAGGCTCTCAGGAGTGAAACAGTAGACCTTGTTTGCACATGTTAGGGTAAGCTGATGAGCTGGCTGCTCGCCGAGAGGCCGGTCCGCGTGTGCTATCCTTGAAGGGACCACATGGGTATCCATGGAAGCCACTTCAGTTGTTCATAGATTCTCCAGGAAATGAGGAGAGTTTAGCCAAAACCCACAGTTATCAGTCAGGGTCAGTTTGGCACCCTTGTCCACAGGGTATTTGGCAATATTTGGAGACATTTTAAGTTGTCCCAACTAGGAATGAATGTGGGATACTAGCATCTAGCAGTAAAGGCCAGGGGTTCTTCTAAACACCTTCCAATGCACAGGACAGCTCTCTCCTACAAAGAATTATTCAGCCACAAACGTCACCCATGGGGACCCTGCTGCAGAGCCTATGGGCTCTCTGTGCAGTGTCCCCAGGCCCCTGCACAAGAACCTCTCCTTTGATCCGGCCAGGTCTGCACCCACTTCCCTCATCAGAACTTCTCACAGTATATTGTGCACCTTTTAAAAAACTGAAAATTCAGAGGCATTTTTATGGCTAGATTATGACCAAGGACTGAATGTTAAAATGTCTTCAACCGAAAGGCCTCATCAAAAGGTCACTTATCCTGCATTACACAAAAACAAGTGAGCAAACAATGTTATTTGCCCTTTGAAAAGCATTCCGTTGACTCAGGAGTACTTCCTCTAATCAGGATTTTGAAAAACATTCCAACTTTTTTATAAGAGTTTATATTCAAGCCCAGGGAAATACAATAAAAAACATGAATGTTTAAAATAATCATGATTTTTAAAAATCAACGACTTTTGCCTGTATTTTCTTTGCAGAATGAAGGGGTGGAGGTCGGTCAGCCTGAAAGCAGTGCCTCATTGCATTTTGGGATGAAGAGCAGTCATTCTGTTCCACAGAAAAGAGCCTGTGAATTAATGTAGAAGGACTTGCAACATCTAGCGGAAGTGGAGACGGTCCTTTTCCTCTGATTCGGCAGTCACAGCATCCACTGGGTCAGCCTGGGCAGAGCCAGGTGGGGGCGGGTGACAGGGTGGAGGGGTGGGTGGAGCTTGTAATGTGAGGAGGTCACTGCTGTGAGGCACTAGCTGCCTCCCCTGACGCATGGCTGTTTTCTCTTCAGTGCAAGGGTGGCCTCTCTGGCAGGATGCCACGAGCCTGGTCTGGTGGAGAGAGAACAGGGAGAAGCAGGCAGCTGGATGAGGGAGAACTGAGCCAGGGCATCATGAAGACTGCTGACCGTCTGCTGTGGGTTTTACACACTGGCTTTTTATCGTCCGCAGTTGCTAGCCTTCCTGCAGGACTTACTGTCTGCAGGCGTGGGTCGTGTCTGTTATGGACGATGTCTGGGAAACAGGAAGCAACACTCTGAATAAACTGTTGGGATTTTAAAGCCAGTTCAGATGGGAGGTGAGGGTGGGATATTAGCGATGGTATTGGTTTTCTATGGATATGGAAATGCCTGTCATGAGGGAACAGAGTATTTCTATTTTTTGGAAAATTGCTTTGCTGGAAATTTTCCAGGTGAGAGAGTTTTGTGGTCATATAATGAGAGAACCTTAGCCCCAGTATCTCAGTTAAACTGGCCCTGGGCAGAGAGGGGCAGCTGTGTGTGGGGATGTGTCCAAGTGTATGTGACTCAGGCTAGATTTACCTTGAGCCCTTTATGACCCATGACTCTGGATAATGAGAATTTGCTTTCTTGTTCACTAGAAGATACATTTATTGTAACCCAGTGTTTCATTTTAAGGATAGTTCCTCAAACTAGGGGGAGAGGTAAATTTCCCTTCTTCCTCTTTATTTTTTACATGTCAAATGTAAACCTTAGCGTGTTTGTACTTTTTAGAAGAAAATGATAAAGAACTTTAATGGAGAAGGATTTTCAAATATTGACAATAATTTATTTTTGCAGCTACACTGTCGCATTTGCTTCATAGGTGTTTCTTCTCCAGGGCCCTGGTTTGGGCTGGCGTTCCCTTGCAGTAAAAGGTATTGGAAGTGATCTTTTCATTTCCCTGAGGGCAGCTTCCTCTTCTGAGTAAGACTGAGTTGGGTGGGCTGAGCCCTCCTCTCTGTCCCAGTGAGAGTAGGAAGGGCCTTGTGTCCCCACCACTTCCTCCAGGGGCTCCCTGGCAGGACGAGGTGTCTGAGGAACTGGGGCTGGAAAGAAGGGCCTGTTCCTGTCTGGAGACAGGACAGGGCTTAGTTTTGATCCTCCCTTCTCCTTTGGCAAGCACCAAGATGCAAGGACCCCATCATAGGTTTTGACCACTTGCAAGTCGGAGAGCAGACTTTCCATCGGTTTGACTTTCCAGCCCAAGTGGTCTGGAAAGAACTGAACTTTGTAGCTAAAGCGTTTTGAGGTGTGTGGAAGAAATGACACATACAGTGTTCTGCTACAGGAGATGAATTTATTGGTCATTATATATCTTACTGGTGAGCGTACACCTACCACATAATAAGGTTTCAACAAATATCTGTGAAATGATTGAAGGATTTGAGAAGAAAAACCAGTCTTTTTTAGAAGTCACTTAGCTATGGACAGAAAGGATACAGCTAGGTTCCTGGAACCTGCCCCTCCTTCCATCCCCAACAAAAATTCTACCCAAATGTACAATTCTTTTTTGCCTTTTAATTTAACTTAGTTCTGTAGATGTTTAAATGACGTGTTCTGCAGAAGGCTGGAGGAGATGCCAGCGACGAAGGAGACAATAATAAGAAGAGCTGTTAGACTTATTAGGGAGTCAGGCTTTGCACAGATGAAACAGGAAACAGCAGAAACAAATATCCACATGTTAAAAGTAAATAAAGATAAACTGTAGCATTATGGGTAGTCAGAGAAAACAGTGGTCAGTATAGTTTAACTGGAGAAGGCTTTGCTGAGAAGTAGGACCCAAACTGAAGCCTGAAATAGTGGTGGGATTTGAGTTCCTTTACACTGAACAGATTTGCCTGCCGTTACGCACATATGTGTCTTATTAGGCTGAGGGACATGCTCTCTCGTTTCCCTTTTAGATATGGACTCCTGCCCTCTTCAGAGCCTGATCAGTACTGAGAAATCTCTCTTAAGTCTCCCCTGTTCCCATTACTGCTTCATTGCTGTAAAATAAGCTCATTGACACTATACTGCATTGCTGGCAGCAGTATCCAGGCTTCATTTAGTCTTTCCTTTCTGATTAGAGATCATATACTCTCAGCATCAGAAGACAGCCCCCTCACCTTACTGTTAGGAAACCAAGGTCCGGAGGGTTGGTGGAAGGCCAACTCAACGTTCCACGGTTTTTGGGGGCAAAGTCCTTCCCTGGACAGTGACACACCATCAATGGCCCCCAAGCCTGGTGGGCAGCCCCAAGGCAGGCTCAGTCTAGGTGTGGCTGGTAGCTGCAAATCCGCGAGGACACCAGTGGTGGGAGAGAAAGGGACAAGCTGAGAGGAGTGATCAGCAGACTGTAGAGACTCTCCGGGATGAGGATGAGCACTCAGTGCTTCCCCAGGTGCCTTGCAGAAGAACCCAATGTCTGCACATGGGAGGGGCTTACACTGCACACGGGCGGAACCGAGGTACGCTCAGGTCCAGTGGCTTTCTAGGTGCTTTCCGAACACAGGAGGAGGCTGGCTTGGAAAGGAACAGATAAATGTAAACAGACTCTCCTTTCCTCAGAAGGCTCGTGGGGCCTCATTTTCTTATTCTACCTATGCCCTTCCATTCCTGAGAATATTTGAACACCTGTCACCTAAGGTCATCCTAAAAACATCAGCCTTTGAATTTATTTGCTGTCAACGGTAGATTTTCCTGACCTACCGTTGCTCTGTTCTTGTACCTATCTTTTGTTCTGAATAAATATTTATTTACAGTTTAAGGGATTATTTATAGATGCTAGTATGAGCATAAAACGGAAACCACACAGCCTTCAGTTGCTGCATAAAATGCGCCTCTGTGAACTTTGGTTATGCACAGGTTTAACCAGCATGGGGGAGGGGAGTTGTATTATCTTTGACTTGAGTGAGCAAAATCCTCAGCTCCACTTTCTTGTCAAGAATACAAGAATTCGTTAGCTGAGGGGTTGCCTCTCAACTCCATGAACTTGTATACAAATTGTGTGTGTGTGAGTGTGAGCGTGTATTTTCTGTGAGAAGACTGCACAGCTTTCATCAGAAATCCTGAGACCTATGGAAATCCTGAGTATCAGCATTATATACAGACATGGGGGTTATTTCAAAGCACTTCCAAAGGGCTCTCCTGCTCAAAAATACTTCACTTTCATAATCTCTCTAAATTTTATTGTAAGAACTTTCTTTGGTTAGTCATTTATAGTTAATATGCTGTTGATAAAAGGCATATCCTTTCTGGGACAGGTAATGCTTTCACAGAGTAAGACTCAAACATTATCACTTATACTAAGAATATTTAAACCAAACCCTTCCACAATGGTCCAATGTCCAGGTGAAAAACTCCAGCATAAAATCCAGTGATTCTGTGTGTCTGTCTGGCTGGAAGACTGAGTGATGCTGAGCCACCAGGAAGATCAGCACCTGTTTTGCCCCATACAGCTTAAAGTGCTTTGTTTCCCTTTGCTTTTTGATATCATTTGAATTCAGGGTCTGTGACGGATGATTCACACACACTTTAAATGTGATACTCATGTTCACAGGTGAAGAAGCTGAGTGTCCCAGTTGCATTGGTCAGGGTCTCAAACGGGGGAAGAGAGAGAGAACTAGGATTCGAAATCACTGATCATCCAGCCTTAGTGCCCACACTCTTTCCCTAAGTGAATTCTGGCCAACGGCCAAAGTTAGGGTCCCATGGGAAAGAATGTTGCTAAAAATAAGAAGCAGAGAACAAAACAAGTCACTGTGGTGTGACTGATATTTTAGTTGAAGATCATCAACTGGCTGAAGTCTCAGCAGACTCCTGTCTCTGGATTTATCCTCCCTGGGCACTTAGCACATTTTAAACAGCAAAGTTATTTAACTTTGGTTAGCCTTGGGAACAAAACAGTAATTAAGCACATAATCCATCTACTTCTTGTCAACAAAATTGTTACTATTTTAACATCCCTAAATTAGGACAATGGCCCAGGGTTAAATAAAACAAGAAGTTGAGAACACAGGTGTGAATATAGAAATAGTCTAATTTGCTAATTACTGGTCTCACTCATCTAATTTGTGGTTCAATATTTCCCTGCCATTTTTCTGGTACCAGCTCTCATGAGTAACATCAGTATCTAAACACATTTCTGCTGAGTCTTTCTCTAAATAGATTGTTAGGGCAGGGGACTACACAATTTTTTTTCTGTAAATGGCCAAAAAAATAAATACTTCTATAGGATCTACAGTTTATTGCAACTACTCAGCTCTCCTACGTTTGAGCAGCCATAGACAGGATGTAAACAAATGAATGTAGCTGTGTTCCAAAAACATTTTATTTATAAAAACAGGAAGTGGGTCAGATTTGTCCTGTGAACCTTAGTTTGCCGACCCCTGTTTTAGGGGATAGACATCATTCTCGAAAATGAAGGAAAGATGAAGGAAAATAATCAAGGCATACAGAGAAGTGATCCTCAGAGAAGGGATGCATATATGTGTGTTATTTCTCCCATATGGACACACTATTCTTACTGTAGACATGCATTATTTCATGCACACACATACCACACCATAGAGGCTCTTCTGTGTGGTATGTTGGCGAGCACTGAGTTGGAAGCTGGGAAATCAGGCTCTGGATAAAGTTCTGCCCCTAATTTGCAACAGTGTATTGGACTAATTTATCCTCTCTGAGCCAGAAAAGGATAGGGGGATTAGAGGATCTACAAAGGTCTTTCTACTCTCTCCTTTTATGAGGATATGATTTTTTTACTAAGATTTCTAGGGAGAAACAAAAGATAAAAAAAAAAACCAACATGGATTCAAATTATATTAAATTTATATGAAAACCTAGACTGGAATTTAACAATTCAACACAGGTACCCAACTGAGCCACAGGGCCAGCGTGTCAAAGGAGCTATGCACAGAACACTGCTTAGAGGCATGAGCGAGAGGAGCACGTGGCGCCCACCGGGAAGCCAGCAAGGGAGGAGTCGGGCCCACCAACAAGTGGAATCAGCAATTAGCAGACTCCCCTGGGTACACTTAGTATAACGGTGAAGCTTCCTTGTGACTTCAGAGGACAGTCGTGGGGACATTTCATAAGAAGAACCCAGAGGAGCAAAATCCTTTGTGATGTGTGTGTCTGTGGGGGATGAGGGACCCTCTCTTGCCGCTGGGTAGAGCAGCCCATTTCCGAAGCTGCTCAGAACCAAAGACGGTCGCTCCTTTCTCAGAGAGTAGTGCTCGGGAGAGTTGGTTGATCTTTGGATGTTGGATATTGAGAATCTAAGAGGTCCTGTGCTTTGCAAACCACATTCTACAGAGACCACTGCAGAAAGAGCTATTTAGTGCTGGGAGGGGTGAAAGTGGAGGTGGAGCAGGGCTGGGGGACTGGGGAGAGGGAAGGGGTAAGCTAGAAGGGCTTTGTGCCCCATTCATGCTTCAGCCAGAACCCTCCACTTCCATCTTTTATTTCCTAGTGCTAAACCACTTGATTATAAACAGGAAAACTGAGTCTCAGAAGGGGGCATAAGTGAGCATGACTGTTGCAGGGAGTGAAAGGGGATTTTACTGGGCACGAGGAGTTCATATTCACTTTCTGGGGGAGGTGGACGCCTAGGGGTGGAAGGCACATGGAGCAGTGAGTACTCAGTCTCTGTTCCTCCCAAGGACGCCCGGGGTCTCTCAGTCTTGAGGGAAACGTTCTCATAGCACCCCTCCGCAGAGTTCTCTGACAGCCTTTTCCTGAGGAAGTTGTGATCGATGAGGGTGTAGCACAGATCCTCTGAGGAGCTCTGGTTGGCCTTGTCCTGCTTGTCAAAGAAGAGCTATCATCAGTACTTGGCTTCCCCTCAGTCCCTGCACATGTCAGTCTCCATGCAGGACTGACCCTACTGGGCACGATCTGCCTCCCGTGATCACCGCCCTTCCATCTCTTGACCATTTTTCCTAAACGGCTACACCACCCCAACTGCTAGCTCAGGCAGGTGGAGGACTCATGCTGCCCGGGGTCGTCAGCCTTCCCAGTAAGCATGTCCTCTCTGCCCCGTGTTCCAGAGTGACCTGACCCCTGACCAGTCCCTAGGATTCCCAAAGTCTCAGGGCCCTGAGGGCATTATTTTCTTATACAAGAGAACAACCTGATTAGGTTATGATATTTAACCACCCTTTCTAGAGATGTTTGCATTGTAAAAAGGGGAAATCACTCAGGAGAAAGTCTCATTTGGTGGAATGTCGGGAGATAAAGCAAAGTAACAAAGTAGGGGGGAAAGAACATGGATTTAGGAGTGAGGCTTGATTTTAACTCATGCCCTTGCCATTTTGTCAGCTGTCTGGCTGTGGGGCATATCAATCTCTCAGCTTCCTCATCTGTAAAAAGGAGGAAATAATAGTACCAATCTTACACGATTGTGATGGTTACATGAGGTGAGATGATACATGCAAGGCTTCTACCACACTGTCTAGCATAAACCAAGTGATCAATAAATACTAGTTCTTTTGAGTAAGTTGCACAACAGAGATGGCTGCTGGTCCCACCTCCAGGCCCCGTGCACAGTGGCCTAGGCTCCTCAACACTGGCATCTAAAGTCTTTCTTTCATATCAAGGTTAGATATGAAAAGGCCAGGGTCTCCTGCCATCTGGGTGTCAGCATTTCTACTGTCATCTCAGATAAAGGCGCAGAGATTTTGCATTACCTGGATAGGAGCAGATGACATTCTTTCATCTAGAGAAAGAAAACAATGAATTTCAGGTTACAAGGAGATTTGAGGGGAGGGGAGGATGGGGCGGACTGGGATCTAAGCAACCCGAGAGCCAAGGGACAGCTGGGGTGCCCCTTCTCAGGCTATCCTGACCTACAGCACGTCCCTGGGGAGAGACAGGACCATCTAAATCAGAAAAGGTAGAGCTGTGCTCAGACTGAGAGGCTGAGTGGAGGGAGATACACTTGGTGGGACTTTAGGGAGGAAATCACACTTCCCACCCTCCCCACTGTCCTTCCTTACACAAAATTCATTGCATACCTACTCTGTACCCTGCACAGGGGAGACACAGAATCAGAAACAGTCCCTGTCCTCAAGGGGCTCACAGGCTAGCCCAGGAGACAGACAAGGACTTAAGAAGGATGCCCACTGCAGAGGAATGCTGTGATTTCTACTGTAGGAGATAGGGGATGGTTGCAGCATGGGGGCTGCTGCTCAAGAAGAGCTTTGCAGAGAAGGAAACCCTAAAGCCAAACATTCCCATTCCTGAATTCGATGGCAGGTACAAACAGAAGCAGACCAATTTTTCAAAAGCCAATTTACTTTTGAAAAGTGTCTCTGGCCACTCAGCAAAGAGGCAAACGGGCACCCTCGCCACCCTGTGGCAAGCGCACCAGCTGGCTGAGCATTCTCATGAAAGCCTCACGATGCGTCCTACGCAGGAGGTGGCTATGCCCATGGGTCACCTCATCTGTCATATTATGGATTTACGTTCCCTCAGTACTGACATCCCAGAGATGATTATAGAGGTGACTGTGTCAGCCTCCTAAGCCGTCCTCCCACATCTGCTCTGCTGCTTCCCTGCTACAGGTGGTTCTCTGCTCAGCACCTGGGTGACACCTTTAATGCCAATCTGATCAGACCTGCCCCTGGCTTAAAGCCCTTCAATATCTCCTGTAGTTCTCAAGACACAAACCCCCATCCTAAGCTTGACTGCAGAGCCCTGCCCCTCCTGTGTGTTCTCTGTGCCCACACTGGCCTCCTGGCAGTTCCTGATAGATGCCTCTTGCCTCTACCATTTACATTTATCCTTCCCAGTTAACCCCGTCAGCCTCTTGACGGCAGGGACAAATTGAAATCAACAGCCAGTCAATGAGCTCCAGTCCAGTGGAGAAAAAGAACATGTAGCTGGGCAACTTGAAGCAAAATGTGTGAGTATCATCCCAGAAAAGCACCCACAGAGTATTGGGGAGCACAGATAAGGGATAGTTGGAAGTGGCAGTCTATCAAAAGTCTATCAAAAGCAATGACTTACTTTCCTTTTGGGAATCTTGCCTTGCCTTAAAAATGTGTAATTTTTTCCTGTAAAAGAAAAGAAAAGGAAATTAGTTCAATATTCAGAAATTGTCAGAGGAAATTACTGTAAATTAGTATTACTTAGCTCTAAAAACTTATTTTTAATCCTTTCATTTGTTAAAGATAAAGGCTTCTTATAATGCCTCCTTCAGCATGGAGACATAAGATAGAAAAAGGGAAAAATGAAGGACAAGGCCAAAGAGAAATCTATTCCTTTGGGTCTCTCTCTTTCTCTTTCTTTTCCCTTCTCCCTTTTCTAAGGCTGATATAGTATTGATTATAGATGGAACTGAATTGTAGATCACAATAGTGATATCGATAAACTTTTTGGAGATTCTTTGACAAAGAAAATCAATTTATTTACATTATGTGAGTTAAGGAGCCATGGTTATTTCTAATCTCAACCCCAAGCCCAGTCTATGATTGCCAAACAAACGAGCAAGCAGACAAACACCTCTTATATGAGCACAAAGGTACCTGCCCTGTATACAGGATGTTGGAAAAAGATGATATAAATGTAATGGAAGCCCGTTATCATCTCAGAAGACTCAGGCAACATCTGTCCTAAGGAGAATGACCCTATGTCCTGGTTTGCTCAATCTAGTTAGTGTCATTATCAATCACTTAGCAGCCCTTAACTAATTTTGGCCTCCCCTCCACTGGCAAGTGTCTCCCAGTTTGGACAATGATATGGTCGCCCTGGCTGTCAGTTCTCTGTGCAAGTGGCAGACATGTGCGCTTCTGTACACGGAGACTCTGGGAGGTGCAGTGTGGTTAAGGGGTCTTTCTCTACATTGGTAGCCAGTTTCCTCCTTGCTTCTAAGGCTTTCCTGTTTGAGGAGCATCTATTGCCCCTGAAACTACTGTTCCTATTTTCCACCGAATCCGAACCGTTGCTTCCCTGACTGACTCTCAGCTAGTGGCAGGCTTCTGCTGTGGCCACAGAAAGTGGGCAGTTCACAGGTAACTTAGAGCAAATACCACATTGAAACCACACTTAGGGAAATGACACTTGAAAACAAGTCTCGACTCACCACGAAAGGCAGAAACACCCTTCAGCAAAGTAGCAGTCCCAGCATCTAGAACACCCAAGAGATGAAACAAATCACAAGGTTGGTTTCTGCAGCTTTGTTAGGGGGCTTCCTTTCCCTTTGTCACCACTGTGGGAAACATTTTCTTCCCCAAGAGAGTATTCATTCTAGCTGACTTGGACAATTGATCATGCAAGAATGTCTTTGTCCTCTCAGGACATTAACTAACCCTTTGGAAATAGGAATATAACACTATCAGCTCCTAGGTGAGAACTTTCCGCTGTATTCCCAGCAAAGAAAAGGTCTTTCTCATGCCCAATTCCAGAGATTTACCTGGCCTCTTATAATGAAGGACACTTAAGAGTTATCTCCAAGAAATCAAGGTACAAGTGTGTGTATCTATTTACACCACATTGTAATTGCTTGCTTGTCTATATCCTATGCTGGAATGTGAGCTTCACAAGGTCAAGGATCGTATTTATCTGTTCTTCATGGTATATATATATATATATATATCACCAGCATATGCCCCAGGGCCTGGCTCACAGTAGATATATTTTCCATACATATCTGATGAATGAGTAGTCAGGCACAGAGCTACTCTAGCTGGCTCAGATAATCAAATCCAAGGTATAGCTAAATCAATATGACTTATATTATTTCTTTTATGGCAGAAAAGCTCAGGATGGTTCTGCAGTCAGGCATCTAGGCCAAAGTCTAAGTTTCATTCTGGGCATCTTTCTGACTCTGAAGCATAGCCAATAGTACCTACATGGTTAAAGGTGAAGCCTTTTATAAAGTACCGCATATACCACAAACATGTGAAACCATTTGGAAAACACCATCCAAAGGCATCTCTTCTGGTGAGCTTTCCCAGGAAGCTCCCTGGGAAAGTGCAGGGGAGGAATGGCCACTGCACTTGACCTTGGACTGTGGGCACCAGCGAGGCTGAATGTTCTGACAGCCTGTAGGGTCTAAGGTCCATCAGAGCCTTTGGGGCCAAGAGGCATGGCTATCGTTCCTCCCCCTCTTCGGGCTACATTCAGAGTTCTTCAAGTCAGCTGCTAATGTCTCCTGTTTCTGTGGCTAAACACCAGAAGGAATGTTGAATCACACCAATGCTAAGAAATCACGCTCACTGGGGAGATATGGAAGTGAGATGAAAGGAGGCAGTCAGTTCTGAATTACTGGATCAATATCTCTGGACTCTCTGAGCCACAGTTTCTTCATTGGCCAGTAAAATGAAGATATTTAAACTGCTTACCTCATGGGGTTGTAAGGGTCAGATAAAAAGCTGAATATGGGCAAAAGCGACTTTCCCTCACTCAACTTTTCTGCAATATATTGTTGCATTTCAGTTTGGATGTATTGGTTTGGGGTGGGTTCAGACAACCTCATGAAGGAGGCCAGACAAATCTCTGTGACACCAGGCTGCATGCCAGCAATTCCTGGGTCCTGTCTGCTACACAAAACTTCCCTGGCTCCCCTGGCTCCCTGTCTGCCCAGTCTCTTCTTTCCTGTAATGCCCTGTTGGTCTCTTTCATCATTTGGACTGTGTGTTCTCACATATGTCCACTGATACTCCCTAAATACACAACCTCTAGCTTGCACTGAACAAAGGCACCCTGATGGGTCTGAATCCCCAGCTCCTCACACGGGTTTTGGCTCACTGTTCGCTCTATAGTTGATACTCTTTCAAGAGCTTCTCCTGAAACCATGGCAAAAGTGCTGATGATTCTGCAGGCAGGCCACAGAACAGCTGGCTTTGCCACCTTGTGGGATTCTTAGACCTTGAGACACTAGTTCTGTATTTTAATGACTCCCTGGCACTCAAAAGTCCTGGTCAGAAAGGACTGGTGAGGAAGTACTGGCTTAGCAGAATCAAAGTAATCTTAAGTGTCTCTCTCCACAAACCTTTCAACAACTGTAGTAATGTGGGCCATGTAGTCACCTCAGAAACAGAAACGTAGAGCTTAAATGAAATGGCCGGGACGGAGCTTGAGCACAAAGGTACCTGAGCTAGACAGACAACAGGAAATAGGGGTCTTACTTCCACCTGCTAGAGTTTACACTAGCCTTCTAGCAAAATGGCACATCTTCTGTGCAAAGCTCCAGAGCGTTTTTTTCCTTTTTTGTCTTGTCTTCACATATACAGTACACCTATTGCTGAGTCTAAGCACGGTCCTCTGTGTGGGCTTTGTGAAGTTGAGGACCTGACAGATTTCACTTTTCATGGGCAAAGGTTTTTGTTTTGATTTGCTCTCACCTGGAGGTTCTCCGTCTGGTGTTTTGATTTCTCAGCTTCCAGGGCATCCCTTGAGTATTCTGCAGCCTCCTGAAACTCAGCATGACAGGAATGAGCTGAATATTTCTTCTCCAGGCTTCCCACCTCACTTCATAATTTTTCCAACTTTTCTCACTTCTGCTATTTGTGTGTAACCCCCAGAATTGCCTCAGTTTCCCCTTATTGCCCTCACATCTGTTAATCCACTTCCCAAATATACACCACAAATATGCCTTTGATCTGAAGTTCCCTCCATTCCACAGCACCAACCCACTGATGTTCTGCAACACCTGCCATACACAGCCAGTACTAAATCATTTGTTCTCAAATGGCCGGGATCCTTATGCCGACCCTGGGAATATCGGTATGTGGAGAGGCCTTTCAGTTTCAGGTACTGTGTTCAGGAATGGGGAAGGGTACTGGCCTTGTTGCCTATAAGTCACCATCTTTTATGGCAAGCACCCAAACAGAGAACATGGGATGAAAGGGGAAGAAAGGATTGAATAAGGAAAATAAGTTGGTGCATTGTTTGGGCTGGGTGTCTGTATGACCATCTTTTCATTTGTTGGAGCTTGGAGGTATAAAAAAAAAGAAACTAACAAACACTACTTACTATCTCTTTATAGATACACTATACTATAAATACATGCCTACTATATATGCCACTTAATGTATATAACATGGACATTTTACATGTTCTATTTCATTTAATCCCAGACTAAACCCATAAAGTAGATACTATGATTCCATTTTTGACCAATGAGATAACTGAGGCCAAAAAAGTCAGGCAACTTGTCCTGTGACCCCCTCCCACCCCTCCACAGCCAGCAAGTGGGAGAGGCTGCGTTTGCTTTTGGCCGATCTCTCCCTCTAAGACTCTGAGCACCTCTCATGAAGGGATAGGTGCTGTTCTACCCCATGGGGAAAATTTCCCTGGATTTGTAACAAATTTGATGGGGAGAGACATGGGGGGTGGGGTGGGGTAGGAGGGAAGTTGAAAATCAGATACAAGTAAATATAAGATTAATAAATATATTAAGGGAAACATTTTAAAACAACATGGAAATGAGGATGCTAGGCCAGCTGATTAGCTATTTGGGAATAAAATTTGTTCACATTTGATACCATATATTAAATGTATGGGGCTAAATGTAAAGCAATAGGACCGTAGAAAATTATGCTGTGGAGTTGCCTCGTCTTGAGATGGGAAAAAATTTTCACCTCAAATTGGTAGAAACCAAAACATTTCCAGATTTAATTCAATTGTTTAAGATATAATAAGAAAAACATAAAACATCTGGATGGCATAGACACACACACTGAAAAACATGTTCTTTGTAATATTCCTGAGAAAGGGCTCATTTCTGTACAGTACAAATAGCTTTTACTATCAGGAAAACAAAGTAGACCGAATGCCAAAACAAAAATGGGCAGAGAGATTATCAGCTCTTCACAGATGAAGAAATACAAATGGCTGATAAATATAGACATTAAAATACAGGTAATGCTATAAGCAGCTATAACTGTGATTTACCAGCTAATTTTTTTGTTTATACTTCACGTATTTTCTAATTTCTTTACAACTACCATATAGTAATGTCATAATCCTTCATCCCCACACCAAAGTTCCACAAACAAAATTACAAATGTGACATCAGTCATGACTTTCTCAGTCATTACATATGTATTTTGTTTTATTTTTTCTTCTCCAGACAGTTATTTTACATTTCCTATCACTTATCCAACACTTTTTGAGTGCCTACTATATGCCAGAAAGAATGCTAGGAAACAGGAATTCAACGATGAATAAGAAAACAATCCCTACATTAGAGAAGCTCACATCTAGACATACAAAGAGGGGTTTATAATCTGACACAAGAATGCTCTAGCTGCAGGCTGCCCAAGGCCTCCAGGAAGGAGAAGTCTGACAACACTGCCTCTTAGGGAGGCGGTGGGGACATCCTGCAGGCTCTCCAGCCTCCTTTGGGCAGGTGGCATTTGGGTTCTGGGACACCAAAAAACCCTCTAAAGACCCCAAGTCCTGCAGCTAGCTCATTATCCTGAGACCACCTCAGCATGTAACCTAAGGATTCTCTGGTTTGGGGTGGTGCTAATTTTTACAATATCTGCTTTGATGTTAATAAAATGATGGTCCAAAAAAAGAATATCTTCTAATTATTGAACCCCACTCTGTCAGGCACTATCCTAGCATCACACACACTAGCAACCTCCCGGGTAGGGACTGCATTATTATTTCCATTTACTTGAGGAAACTGAGGTCCTAAAAAGTTAAACCAAGTGCTCTACCAATTTCAATAACCTCTGCTTACCTGTTGCAGGGAATGTGCACCAGAAGATGCTTCCTGGTGGCAGGAAGATTGATATTTATTTTGAATCTAAATAGTGACTAAAGGTTGGTGGTGTCTCAGCTCCTGCTGGGGCATCAACTGCTCAGGAAAGCATCCCTCTCCGGCCCTTAGAAAGTCATCCCATTTCTTAGGTGTGCTCTATTGCACAGACTTCCCTCAGTAACGTCCTGCTGCCTGTCAGTTGTTCTCCAACAGATGCTCAGTCTGACTCTGGGGAAAAGGCCAGACCTATGAGGAATTGAACCTGGTGTCTGGCATGTAGGAGGCACTCAATTCAGGTCAGTTCCTTACCCAATTCCCTTCCCCCAACCCAGGGAAGACCCCTTTTTCTCTTTGAGGCTGCACTGCCAAGCCCCTCTCTCCTGCCCACACTGAGGGGGTCGGGACTCACCTGTTTTCTCTCAGCAGAGAGTTCCCCATCCTCTCTGTTCCCTTGGTGCCTCCCTTCAGCAGCTCAGAGACGGGGCTGTGTGGCTCTGGCCACCTGTGCAGGCAGAGCTGAAAGGAGAAGAGTACCTCTCTGCAGAGGGGAGGTGGAGCCCAGGGGAGGAGAGTCAGAGATGCACACACACAGCTTCCTGAAATGTCAGAGCCTGAAAGACCAGGCTATTGGCCTTACCCAGAAACCATTGGTCAGTGAGAGCCTAGGGCCTCTGGGGAAGCCCCTTCAGCAATTAGACGGGCTATGAGAGTTTTTCACATCAGATGCTTAAATTCATTAAACCACTTGGTAGTCTTAGGAAAGTCAGAGGAGGGAACTTTGTTTTAAAAACAAGAAAAGTTTAAAACAAATTAAAAGTCAAACCACAGACCAATAAAAATCATCAGCAAAATATTGACCTAATAAGAAGAGTTTTATCCAGCATATATAAAGAACCCTCAAAACTCTCTGAAAGGAAAACAAGTACCCAGTAACAAAAAGGGCAAAATAATATAACAGATACTTCATAGGAAAATATACAGGCAGCGAATAAATACATGAACAAATGCACAACACTACAGTCATGAGGGAAATATAAATCACAACCCCAATGCAATACTTTTACACAACTACTAGAATGGCTGACATGAAAAACAAAAACAAAAGCTGAAAATACCAAGAGTTGACAAGGGATGGAGAACATCCAGAAGGAATGAAAAATGGTTCAATCTCTTTGGGAAGCAGTACGGCAGTTTCTTATAAAAGTAAACACAGCCTTACCAGACTACCTAGTGAGTCCACTCCTAGGCATTTGACCAAGTGAAATAAAAATTAAGACCTCTAAGAGCCTGTAGGCAAATATCTACAGCTGTTTTACTCATGATTGCCCCCAAATCCCCGGATATAACCCATTGATCTCCAGGTGGTGAATGGTAACAACTGGTGAATGTTATGTCCACACAGTAGATGCCGCCCAGTAATAAAAAGAAGTGGATCTTCTGGTATGCATGCAACAACCTGGATGAATGTTAAATGCATCACACCAAGTGAAAGAAACAAGCCTTACAGTCTACCTTTTGTGGCATTTAAGACAAAGCAAACTCAGGGACAGAAAACACATCAGTGGTAGTCAGGAGCAAAGGTTAAGGGAGGTTTGAACTTCATGGGGCAGGAGGGAACTTCTTTGTTGTTTGGTATCTTGTGGTGGTGGCTACATAACTACACACATTTCTCTTAATTCATAGGGCTGTGTACCAAAAAGCATGCACTTTACTATATTAAATTATATCTCAATGAAAAAGAGGAGGCTAAGAAAAAGAAAAAAATGAACCTTGGGATAGGAATCATTGATTATTTTGGTGTTATTTTTATATCTGATGGCTGGTTCCAGTTTGGTCACTCCTTTATTCCTTCATTCCTTCAAGTGTATGTTGAGCACCTACTGTGCGCTGGACACTGCGGGTTCTATGGTGAGAAAAGAAGATCTAGGCTTGTCCTTAGGGAGCTCCTTGAAATGAAATAAAGCAAAGTAAAATGCTTTATTGCTTGTCCTTGCTTAATATGGAGATCATCGCTACACCAGTCAGGAGCAGCATGGGGAGGTTGCTGGGAAGGACGTTTTAGAGAAATTAGCGTACAAGTTGTGCATCAGCAGATCCATCACACAGCACTCTCGGCCCTGCTGTTGCTTGCCTGACTTCAGTCTATCTCTACAGCAGCACTTTGTTGCAAAAGGGTAGACAAGTGGACTTCCTGCCTGGGAGAAAGCACTCTGGAGCGTGGACAGCCTGTGAGAGACAGAAGGGTGATGCCAATGCAGTGGGGGTTTGATATACAAAGCCAAATATATTATTATTTGTAACATTTTTGTGCTGTACAATACAAATTGAAAATAAGAAGCCCAATTCTCCGTTCAACAGAGCTTTCACTTAACAAAACCTGTAAGTTCTTTCTCTCTGTCTTTGAAATGCATGTATATATTTTTAGAGGCTGAATAAGGAACCTAGGAATGTTTCCTCCAGGACTTGGGAATCATCTCTTCCAAATGCCACCATCAAGGAAGGTAGTGCCCCCAATTCCGAGTGTCTCTTGGAGGATAGCAGCCTAACTTCAGTGGCCACCTGGCTCCAAACCACAGCCTACCTACTTCCAGTCCAAAAGATGAGAAGAAATTTTCTCTTTTAAGGACAGTTAGCAACCACATTACCAAATGAATGAAGGATGAATTATGTGTGAAAAAATGTGCAGTCAAATCCTCCTAATTAAGGACTAGCCATTGTTTATCTTGAGAAAATGTATGCAATGGATTGTGTCTGTTTGGTTATATGAAAGGGCAAGAGCTCTTTGTCTTGGCAGTCTCTTTAGTCGACTGCCCCTGGTGTTAATCACATTCTGTTTTGATGCTTATTTAGTAATAAGGCTGTTTTTTGTTTCTTCTCTTTTTGTGGAGAGCTTTTCTGGGTTGGCAGGAGATTTTGTTCTTAATTATATTTGCCCGACAGTACCTTCTTTCAATTTTTCATTAATCCCTCAAATAATTGACTCTAGGAAAGATGTTAGGGTGGCAGATTTTCTTACCTTGGGAGTATCTAAAATTCAGAAAATGCTCTCCTCAGTAAATCAGATGAAGCAATGAAGAAAGAAAATTCTTAACAAAGCATATACTAAAAATCCCTGCACACAGATCTAAGAAAATGGGGCTGCTCTAGTCTGTTTCTTCAGTGCTCCTCTGTCAAAATCACTTCCTTTCCCAGGCTGGATAGTTACAATAAATTTTAGGGAGTGTCTTCCAAGTTATCTAAAGTTTTCTTTTCCGTGTATATGAAATCTGAGATAACAGCCAGTGGTTTTCCATTTTGTGTGTGACGAAAGTGGTGTGTGTGTGTGTGTGTGTGTGTGTGTGTGTGTGTGTGTGTGTGTGTGAGAGAGAGAGAGAGAGAGAGAGAGAGAGAGAGAGAGAGAGAGAGAGA